GAAGTATCTTGCCAAAGGCTCGTTCTGGCCGTCCGCCTTTGCTTATAATCCGCGAGCAGAGGAATATTATCAAATCTATTCAGCTCAACCCAAGGACGACAGCTCACCAGGCAAAGCTGAAGGTCGAGGATAGATTTTCCAAAAGAGTTTCCGAAGATACTGTACGCCGGACCATAAAAAAGGCTGACTACCATAGCAGAGTCGCCCGCAAAAAACCTCTCATATCGGAAGTCAATAGACATAAGCGCCTAAACTTTACTAATGAGTATATTTCCAAACACCAAGACTTCTGGAATAAGATTATATTTCCCGACGAAACTAAATTCTGCATATTTGGAATCAAGGGAAAGGTTTTGGTATGGAGGAAAAGCGGAGAAGCCTCAAATTAAGAAAATTTGGTTGGCACAGAAAAGCAAGGAGGAAGCGGAATAATGGTGTGGGGTGTATGGCAGCAAGTGGCGTTGGAAAATTGGTATTTATCGAGTTAATAATGGATCAGAAAATCTATATTGACATATTAAAAAACAATTTAAAAGAAAGTGCTGAAAAATTAGGGCTCGAAAGTGAATGTTGGTTCCAACAAGACAACGACCCGAAGCATACGGCGCAGAATACCAAGCTTTGGCTGCTGTATAACGTCATAAATCAGCTGCGAACACCTCCCCAAAGTCCTGATCTAAGCCCAAATGAGCATTTTTGGGATCTTCTTGAGAGGAAAATCCGAAGACACACGATAACATCTAAAAAAATGCTCAAGAATGTGATTCTCGAGGAGTAGGGGAAAATTACAGCAAATGAGACAACAAAAAAAGTGGATTCCATCCCGAGACGCCTTACGGAAGTTTTGCAGAGAAAAGAATACCCTACCAGTTACTAAAAATAATATTATTTGTGTTTTAAACAGGTGTACGCAGACTTTTGCGGGTACATTTTTGGTAGTGTTAAGTTTAAAATTAAAAATAAAATATAAGACACTGTTGAATAATTAAAAAAATACGTCAATGAAGACAATAAATTATAATTATGTTTAAAAAAAGAATGGGTTGAATATATGCATAAATGGCCGAACAGCTAGGGTTTAAAGTTAGATTTTGAAATTTTTTTGGGGTGTACGCAGAGATATGCGAGTGAGTGTGTGTGATATGGAAGCAACACAAAAATGTGTGCCATGTTTATGCCTCGCACTTGTTTATGACCAAGAAACTGACAAAAGCAGATGAGAAGAAAAAAAATTAAATAAAAAAGTGGCCGAGGCAGAAGTTGAGATGCCATTTATATGCAGTACATCCAAAATTTAGTCATTTCAACAGCAAAGCCCTAATGAAGTAATTAAAATCCAGACTTAACAAAAGTAGGTACAAACATATACATACGTATACACACATATACGTACATGTGTAAAGGCAAACCCATTTTCAATTAAGTTTAACTATTTTTAGTTGGCAAATAACTCTGTTCACCAAATATGGTTTCAACATTAAAGATTTTTAATTTGCCTTGTCATGTCCTTTTCAACTACATAAAAGTATTATGACCAACTCGGTCTAATTTTTCTCATATATAAATGGCATCATTTTTTTTTTTTTTAGTATTAATACTTTCTTCTGGATCTAAGGGTGTGAGCAAAGGGAAGTTATAGAACATAATAGGGGCGGTGCAAGAAAGGAGGCTGTGAAGAAGCCAGAAAATATTCAACTATAAAATAAAACTGTGTATAGATGAAAGAGTTACGTGCCAGAGCTAAACAAAAAAAGAAAGTACGCGTGACTTGAAGGCAAAACACAAACATATCAGCATTAAAGACAAGACTATGAAAAAACACGCACCCTGGTTAGGTTCTTCTGGAAAATATTTTAGCTAGTTAATAAGTTTAGGTCTCGGAACACTCTTATGACCATCATAATTGTAACATTAACTATTATTTCAGTATTGGTGGAGTTAAAGTCAAGATTATGAAAAAATTTATTCAGCTAAATTATTAGGGTTAACAGGATTATGTCCTTCGTTTTCCCTGTCAAGGGCTTTTCCACGAATACAATCTGCAGTGCTTCCTCTTATGAATAAACACTCAATTATGCGAACCACTCGTAAGAGTGGTTTACACATTTCACATTCACAACTTAAAAGAGTGAACAGCTCGAAAAATTTTCATTGAAAACAATGAATAAATAAATTTTGAATTGAATCTGATCAGACGATGAGGATGATGACGATGTTAAGGGCTGTATAACCATTTGGAACCAACCAAATGTCAATAATCGGACTTTGTTAGGTCTTGGACGAAAAATCAACTAAAAAATAAATTTCAGATCATCGTTTAATTTTGTATTCCTTTTCTATGTAAACAGTAAACAATAGTAGTTAAAGTAAGAGCATGTTCACACAATTCGATGGAGGGGCAAACTCGGTTTTTATTAGTTTTTCGTTATGAGGTAGCACTGTATATGAAATGGGACTTCAATGCGGTTAAAATCCCCACAAAATACACCCAACCATTGTACTGTGTAGGCTAACGGTACCGAAAAGGAGTTCCATGCGCCGGCAAAGGCAAAGGAGGTGGAAGAAGGCGAAAAGAGCGCGACAACGAGGACGAGGACAAAGTGAATCTTTGTCGTCAGTATGACGTCGCGAAAACGAGCGCGGTTTGTAATGAGGACACCCTTAGTGAAAAGAGCGGAGAAAGGGGAGAGCGACAAAAGCTGGACAAAAGGGGAAGCGGGTCACACTTTGCCAAAAAGCAACAAACAAATAAACAAGGCGAAAAACAAAACAAAGCGGGCGGGAAAATAAAACTAAAACAAAGAGGGGGAGGCATACAAAGTGAGCACACATTGAACGAATTTAGAAATAACGCAAAGCAGCAAAAAGGCAATAACAACAAAAACTTGGGGGCAGTCAAGAAACAAAAAAGCGTACAGTGTTAAACGTGGCCTCTGGAATTTCGTTTCGTTGCCAAATTCTTTCGCACAAAGAGAGAGGAAAATCGAGAGGCGCGGCGAGGAGCAACTCCAACTGTTTAAATTTTCAAGCGCTATATTTTTTATTTTTCTTGCCTTTATGCGTGAGTCTTGACAGTGACAGATGCGCACAGAAAAAAAAAATATATTATTGAAATGACAATATATATATGGAGTTTTTACTTTATTTAATATTAATAATGTTAGGTCGATAATGATTTTATATTCTTCAAAACAAAATGTCATATTCATAAATCTATAAACAATTGTATGTGAATTTTCTTTTTGTGTAGAGCCCGCAACACATCCCAAAGTCTGTCTTTGCCCCACTTCCTCTCTGCATCTCTCTCTTTTTGTCGTTTCGCGTCTCTGAAGACTTTACTTGCTCTTGGAGTACCGTTACGCTTAATCGCCAAGAGTATGTGTGCATTTGACGCGATTGCGTCTCTCGTCACTATTCCCCTCCCTTTGTCTACTCTCTCGTACCTCCCACCACCCCTATCATTGCCCCCAAGCAGCCACCTGCTGTTCATGCACAACAACTAAATCTAACAGTGGGCCCAAATGGTGTTCGTGGAATTGAAAATATTGTTAAACGATACATCAGCAGTCTTGTATCTTTCATTGTTTGTACATTAGGGCGCTTTGAGGCTTAAGAACAGAACATTTTTGAGAAAACCGGCGTTTGAGGGTCTCCGTTTTGTCTTTTAAGTTTATCACTCATACGTAGTGTTGCCTTTAACCCAATAACTTATTCTAACTGAAATAACAGGTCGTATGAGTAATTTTTTCGGACACTTTTAAACCATTACGCAATGCCTTAAACTTAACATTCAATTTATTGGTTTGCGAACTCAAATTGCTACGTTTTGGTCGTTCTTATTATTTCTTAAGTTTATTTTTGAAAGTTCAAGTTTTTAGAAAACAGCTATCATAAAGATATATAGGTAGATACATAGGCTGGTGCAAAACTATAAACTATTTTTATATCATATACCAAAATAATATTTTACAAAAAATAAATTAACAAATTATTCACAGTTTTTAAATAAACCCCACAGTGCGATGCTCTGAGGCCCTTCTTTCTCGGCTCCCACTTCCATTACCCATTTCCCACTTACTTGCCTTGTAATTATTGTCATTACGTCATAAGCAGGCAGAACCGCGACGTCGCACTACAAGCCCACTTACTCGACCCCCTTCCGTTCTTGCCACCCACTGCCTCCCACACGGCACCACCACCCCCTCGGTCCGTTGGGCGCCCTCTGGGTTTTGTTTTGATTCGCCTTGGCTTTTAATTTGGCGCGTCGCTGGTGCGTTTAAAAGAATTCCGTCGCTGCCCCATTTTCAGAAAATGCAATGGGGGAGAATTGTAGAGATTCTCTCTGCGCGAAAATGAGAGGGGCAATAAGTGAAGAACGAGAAATAGCCAGAAACCGGGCAACGCATCTTTGATGGCTCTTTCGCGCTTATTTTAATGTGCATTTAAATGTTTGCTTTACGTAATAATTTGTTATTTTATTGTTGGTGCATGCCATGAATCGCTAATGGGACGCCCATTTCGCAGAGTTTTGACAAGCAGCATATAAATAAAAACCCAGCAAAAAAATAGAAGCTTGGCAATTAAGTTTGACATTTGACGGGCACGCGATAAAAGTTATCGATGACTGGCAAGTGGGCGGAAGGGGCGGGGCAGGGCAAACAAATTTGATTGCTTAAATGACGCGTGAAATTGGCATCGAAACTACAATTGAACTTGAAAGTAAGAGAAAGATAGGGTGTTGCACTTCCAATTAGATGACTGAAGTGCACGAGAAAAAAAAACAAATTGAAATCACTTTTACTTTTATTCATTTTCTACCTGGGCTAAGTTATCTCCGTCCCTTTCAAACTGATTGCTTTCTTGTGTGTGTGCGCAAAAACAACAACAGAAACCTCAAAAACAGCTGAGTGTTCGTCGCACACACATACAAAGTCACACGTGCTGTGCTTTTAGCCAAATTAATACAAAAAAGTAAACGTATTAAAGCCGGAATGACTTACCGCTTAATAATCTTGCTCTTTGGGTCCCACAACGATTTGCCAATATTTTATTAAAGCCTTAACCCACGATCCAGCTTCATTCTTACGTTACAGTGCACTATTCTTTTGTATATTTCATTTTAATTATGCACAATTTTAAACAATTTGATCGCAAAATACCGCATAATTTTTTATTTTTCCGAGTCGAGACGTAGAAACGCGTGAACCTATCGCAAGCAAACAACTAACATAAATATATTACCCTTACAGTCCGCATTAGTGTTGCCAGCTTTTGGAAAGCAAAAAAAAAGCGAGATTGTTGGAAATCATAACATTAAAAAGCTATAGTTCATTTCGTTCCACTTTTCAAAACCCATTTAATTTTGTGTATCATGTATGGTTCCTTTCTATAAAATAAACATATTCTTTAAATTTTCGGTAAATATCGACGATGCATACTCGTTTCGCACAAAAAATAAAAAAAGAATTGTGAAATTGGAAATTAATTTACTTGTGATGCCCACGCATTAGCATTTTATATATTATTTGTTGATTGGCTTTAATAATATCATATATATGTAAAATTTATTTGAGCTGTAACAAATATTTTTTAGATATTAAAAGTTTGTCAAGATATGGCGAACTGCAAAGGCTAATGTCCTTAAAACCTAAATTTTTGTAAAGAAAGTTTATTGTCATTTATTAATTTTTACCGAAATTGGTATGTTTGCATTATTGAAAGAAAGTTCAAAATAAGCAGAGCTTGAGTCATAAGATACATATATGTTAGGTCTTTATGCCATAAATTGTTGGAGTTATGAAAATATTTATATTTATTGCGATTATTATAGTTTTGACATAAAAAAAAAACCAGTCTTAAAATAAAGAACATTTTAATGGCTAGAAAATGTTTGCCTGCCAACACTGCTTCACAAATAGCTTAACAGAACGCTGTTAACAGAACTATCGATTACAGTGTCTGTCGATTACAGCTGCCATATGTGACGAAGAGGAAGAGCGAAGAAAACACGAAAAACTCCAATGTTTATGAAATAATTCGATTAGCGTTCAAGGAGAATGCTGTAAGCGCAGATAAGGAGCTAACGCGCCCACAAACATAAACACACCGCACAGGAATCACCGATTTCGACGCGCCCAGGAATCACAGCTGTCGGGTGGTCTCATGGCCAACAGAAACATGCGTAACACTAACACCACAAAAGTGGAGGCTCTGATCGAGAGCTGCCGCAGCGAGGGCAAGTGGCAGCGGGTCATTGAGCTGACGGATGAACTGAAGACCGGATCGCCCCACAATGGTGAGTAAGCTGGCGCGAATGAGACGATGACAAAACGCCCGCAATGACTTCTCTCTTCCCTTTATTAGAGTGCCTGGCCAACTTCCTGGTGGGTGAGGCCCGGCTGGAGAATTACCTGGAAGAACATGCCCTCGCCGGCGCCGACTCCAACTTCGGGCGCGCTAAGTCAGGTTTGGCCGAGGCACGGCGCTTCCTCCACTTGGCCCTAGGCGAAAGCGGCCAAAAGGCGGGCATTGCCTTGGACGCTTACCTGTTGCTCGCCAAGCTGTGCTTCGCCTGCGGCGAGTACGAGCAGAGCCTGGACAACTTCGTCAAGGCTGAGCTCAACACGCTGGCCGAGAAGGAGCTGACACTGTAAGACGCGGACAAGTTTAGCTAGATTTTTAGATATCATTGAAATTCAGTTGAAATTTGTATGCAAATATACATCATATGTATGAATTTCAACCGAAGAGGTTTCTGTTGGTCCTCCAAACATGTATTTATATATATTTAATAATAATTGTAATACTTTATAGGCGCAGTTTAAAGATCCTGGCCGAGTCTTATGCCATTAAGGGACTATGTTTGGAGCAGCAGACCTCAAAGCCGTCATCCAAGTTCAAGAAGGCCGAGAAGGACACGGAGATGGTAAAAGCTTTGTGGTTTTCTTAAAACCCTGCGTAAACTTACTTTTATTCTTACCCCCAGATCAGCTGTTTTGAGCGCGCCACGGATCTGGGACTGCTTTACCTGCAGGAGTATGACATCGTGAGTGGAAGCAGCAGCTCCTCCAACAACTCGACTGCTGGTTCCACGCTAAACGTAAACGCTGGTGTGCAGCCGTCAAGCAGCAGCTTCGCCATTAGCAGTACCATACCGGCGAGCGGTCCCAGCGGCCTTGAAGTGAACCGTCGGATGGGTGCCATTCTGGAGACGGCGCTACAGCGGGCGCCTATAGTGCTTATCAAGACGGAAAAGCTTCAGGAGGCCGTCGAGCGATACCGCATCATGTTGAACGCCATTGAGACGCGGGCGACCCAATCGTTACGTCTCACTCTAGCCCGTCAGCTAGCCGAGGTGCTCCTGAGGGGAGTGTCCGGCACGATTTACGCACCTCCCTTCACCGGAAAGTCTGGCGGTGGGACTCTACGCGGAGGTTCCTCGAAGAAGCTCTGGAAGCCGCGAAAGTACGCCGCCCGCCAGCAGTTCAACCCGCGAAACCAGCAGGAGGAGGTGATTCTACTGCTGCTTATCGCCGAGGCTCTAGCAGTGAGGGATACTGTTCTATCGCAAAGTCCCGAGTTCCGGCAGGCCCGTCAGCATGCTATGGGAAACGTGACGGCCGTCTATGATCTCCTAACTCTGGCTACTGTGCGCTGGGGTCTCGTCCAGCTGTTAAACGAGTCCTTCGAAAAGGCGCTAAAGTTCAGCTTCGGTGAACAGCATGTATGGCGGCAATACGGACTGAGTCTAATGGCTGCTGAGAAGCACACACATGCATTGAGAGTCCTGCAGGAATCAATGAAGCTCACGCCTGGCGATCCGCTGCCTTGTTTGCTGGCCTCGCGCCTTTGCTACGAAAGTCTGGAAACGGTTAAGCAGGGTCTGGATTACGCTCAACAAGCTCTTAAGCGCGAAGTGAAGGGTGGGTTAGGCTTTGCGTTAGACCAAAGCAAATCTAAATTAATGATTTATAACTTAAATTTTAATATCTATTGTCATATTGCAGGTCTTCGGCCATCGCGCAGTCAACTCTTTGTAGGCATTGGTCACCAGCAGCTGGCCATCCAGTCAAACCTAAAGAGCGAGCGGGATGCATGCCACAAGTTGGCTCTGGACGCACTGGAGCGGGCTGTTCAGCTAGACGGGAACGACCACCTGGCCGAGTACTACCTGTCGTTGCAGTATGCTCTTTTGGGACAGCTGGCCGAGGCGTTGACCCACATCCGTTTCGCGCTGGCTCTTCGCATGGAGCACGCTCCCTGCCTACACCTTTTTGCGCTGCTGTTGACGGCGTCGCGACGTCCTCGAGAGGCTCTGGGAGTGGTAGAGGATGCTCTACACGAGTTTCCCGACAATCTACAGCTACTGCACGTTAAGGCACATCTGCAGCTGCACCTGGAGGACGCGGAGACAGCACTGAGCACTGTGCAGCACATGTTGGCCGTGTGGCGGGACGTATACGAGGCTCAGCTGGCGGGGGAGGAGGAGAAACACTCGGATACCAAGAGCGGCGTTCACTTGGCACATTCCTCACAGATGTCCGACAAGGATTCGAGTAAGTTCTCGCCGGCTGCCGCCTGTAAATCCAAATCTCTCTCTCTAACAATGTGAATGTTCTGTGTATACACACTTGTGTATATATATATATCTGTATCCCAACTTCTGCGGAATGTGTGTATTGTACATAACAAACCAATCAAATTCGCAAAAATAATTGTAAGTTTGCTAATGAGAGATCCCGGTTTAATAAGCTTCGATTGCGAATTCATGGTGATCGGACTTGGTTAACACCGGGATTTTTTTTCAATTTTTCTGGTTCCGTAGTTCGCTGATTGCATATCTGCCTGCCGTTGCTTGTTTTTCTCCTACGTAGTACTTTATTTATTTAAAAATATATTCCTATATTTTTTGATGGGAAATTTATAGCTCACAGGCCAAGTTCTGAACCTGTCTATAACTCTTTACTTTTCATTGGTTTAAGCTTAAAAGACAATGCAAAAACAAAAGGTTTCAAAACTGGAGAACTCTCCCCTATACATTACATATAAATTACTGATCGTTAAATTTCTGATTAACATTTGTCATAAAGTGCACCAAAACTTTTATTTAGTTCTAACGCTTATTTCGCGTAAAGTTTAAATAATTATAATTATATATTTTTGTCAATGTAACCCCTTGATTTTAGTTTCGTAGCTGTATGGACAAGTTTTAAGCTAAAATGTTACCTTACTGTTTTCAGTACCTTGAAATGTTGTCCATCCTTTTTCTTCAACTCTATCCCAGTTCCGTTTTTTGTTGGTTTTCTTTTCTTTCATTTCCCATCTGATTAATATAATTTTAACTTTTTAAAGATTCGGTGTACGCTGCATCCCTCGCTGCAGTTTCCCGCGTCGAACAGGCACTGAGTGAAGCGGCCAGCTCGCTTAGCTCGTTTACCCAGCGACCAGGACCCCGACGCCCCTGGATGCTTCAAATTGAGGTGCGTAAATTGTTGGTCATTTTACAGAATTTGTTGAGGTTTATCTGGTTTATAATATCCATTTTAGATCTGGCTTTTGCTGGCTGATGTCTATCTAAGAATCGATCAACCCAACGAGGCTCTTAACTGCATACACGAGGCTTCCCAGATATATCCTCTTTCGCACCAAATCATGTTTATGGTATGTAGTTTAATTATGCAAGTACATTGTATTCGAGTAGATGGAAGGATTTTTTACATAAAATGTGTTTCTTCTTTAAAAGTCCGCTTTGTAATTTTTTTTATTTAAACGTAGAAGCTTCGTACAATTTTTGTATACATCTAAATTAAAAAAATTAGCAGCACAAAATGTTATTTTCTTTTTGCATGCAACCAACTGCAGTTGCCCTTTGCATTTCATAATAATATCCTTTACAAATAAAGTCTCCTTTTCATTCCGAATTAAATTAATTTTGTAAATGAATTTTTTTTTTAGCGAGGTCAGGTGCATGTCTATTTGGAACAGTGGTTTGACGCCAAGCAATGTTTCCTAAATGCTGTGGCCGCCAATCCCCATCATACGGAAGCTTTACGTGCCTTGGGGCAGGCTCATTTGATACTGGGAGAGCCCAGACTGGCTGAGAAGATGCTGAAGGATGCGGCTAAACTGGATCCAAGCTGTCCCAAGATTTGGTAAGCTTTAAGAGGTTTCACTTGGTTGACAAACCCAGACTCATTTATGAAAATTTACAGGTTTGCTTTGGGCAAGGTGATGGAGACCCTGGGCGATTTCCATGCCTCGGCTGATTGCTTCTCCACGTCGCTGCAGCTGGAGCCGTCGTGTCCGGTGCTACCTTTCACGTCAATACCGCTGGTCTTTGAATAGGATCCTTTCTTTGACTCCCCTTTGGTTCGATTGTAGCAGATTCAACCTCAACTAACCTCAAAGTAAAGAGCAATATTACTTACTATATATATATTCATATATATACTTACGACTTTGAAAGTTCACGTTCTAACTAATATCTTACCTTGGTTATAATTAAATGATGTGTCGCAGTATTAGAACATAAAGGGCTTAAATATTGTATATGCGTGCGTGTGCTTGTAAATTATTAGCTAGAATTGTTCAACTTGATGTGTATAAAATTAATAAAAAACGTCCCGACCTAGATCTTCAGACGATGTATGCGATAAAATATTAAATTAAATTAAAAAGTATATCTTCTCACTCTCTAACACATACACTTTTTCAGGTTGAAGCTCTGTTCTGTTAACTTATTTGATTAGTCCATGGAATGTTAATTATTTCTTAAATATTTGATAATTTTTCTTGAAATTATTTATAGTAATATATATATACATAAAATCTTAAAAATGTGCAAATATATTGGTTGCATTGTAAAACCATCATGTTATTTAATTATTCTTCGGACCGGTTTCTCAACAGACAGTATCGTTGTGGTAATACAGTATACAGCTTTCATTGAAACGATCTGGCCAAATAAGTATATTGAATAATGTTTAAACTTAAAATTTAAAAGCATCTGCGAATGAAATCAGGATTTAAGAAAATCTTAACAACCAGAAATTAGGGCATTATTAATTAATTTTGCTTATTTTCTATCGATTACTAAACCATTAAATTACAAAGTAATGTTATTAAAGTATAAACATATATACATACGTATACGTTTCTGTACAAGAAATAAAAATAAAAAAAATGCCTTAAATGGTTTAATGGTTTCGATGTGTTTATTCCGTGTTCCTTGAATCCTTCATTTTTCTAACACTTTTGTGTCCTTGTTTTGTTTTTTATTTGATTGGCCTACCATTTTCCCGAGACCTTTCACTTTCCGCAGAGGCTAATTAAACTCGATAATTTCCGCATTCTGTGCTAAAGGCCAAAAACAGACCTCTACAACTGCCAAGGAGTTTATTTTGAGTTCGGGTGGGTTTTGGTTGGGATTGGCGGGTTTGTGGCGTTGCCAAGGACAACTAGCATATGACCAATCAATGAAAAAATAAACAAGCCAGTCGGAAATGTCGTTGCAGGGCAGGCACAGGAATTTGGGTTGATTACGCCAGGTATAAAAAAAAAAATCCCGAGCGATCCACTTTGTATGCCAGTTTACAGTTTGACCCCGTTGGATTAGGTCCACCAATCTAGATGGGTGATTAGAGTTCCACCAACATTATGACACCCAAACGAAAGCGTCGCGGACGCAGCGAGTCGCGGGCCAGGAGCAAAACCAAAGGACAGTCGGAGGCAGAGCACTTGCAACTGCTCGAGGAGCTGGAGTTGGCCGACAGTTGCTGCGAGATCTGTCACTGCGACTGCTACAGCTCCCACAGCAGCAGCTCAGTGAGTGGCAGGGGCATCCAGCGGCAGGAGAGCCTCAAGGAGTTGTTGCAACTGGACAAGGACATTCAAGCCCTGGAGCAGCTGCAGCGCCGGGACAGTGCCAAGAGCAAAAGGAGTGCCAGCAGCCAACGTAACAGAAGTGCTTCCCGGTCTCCAACGGATGGAAAGTCCTCCCACAGCAGGCGCGGATCCGTCGACTGCCAGAAAAGAAGTACGGACTCCGGTAGGAGTCGCCGGTCAAAAAGTGCAGGTAGCCGCAGGAGTAATTCCCCCGAAAAGCAGCAGCAGCAGAAAGTAGAACCCACTCCTCAGGTTCGCCGACGACGCGGTGCCCAAAGGGATTGCAAGATGCTTCAAGTAAGTGAGCTTAGACCTTTTTTTGATACCTTATTTTGATACTCAAAACCAATTTGTTTTGCAATGTAAAGTAAAGTAAAGTAATTCGTTAATACTTCTTCAATATTTCGATGAGAAATTAGTCTACTGTATTAGTCTATCCCATTAGTCATTCCTACGCTGTCCACCCCAAAACGAGCAAATAAGATCTGTGTATATATACGATTAGGATATTATGCTATATTTATGACAGCTATAGCCTATAGAATACAGTCATCTGATTTTTCATAATCTTAAGAGATTCGCTAAAAGTGGTATAGGGGTATATAGTATAGGGTTATCAAAGTTTTTTAAACAAAAACAGCCATTTTTGAGGTTTTATTTTTAAAACTTTTTGTGTTGCGATTTGTTATTTCATGTTCTAACTCTAAGCTTGAATTTGATTTGATTTAAGTTGATTTGGCTTTACCACTAACATTGTCTTTGCTATCTATACAGCAATTTCTGGGTCCTTTGAACGACGCCCCCGCACTATCCATCATCGGACGGGCCAAGTCCAAGTCGCACGAGAACATGGTACCTTTGCAAAGCCAAACGCAGGCCAAGAAGAACTCGCTGTGCAACTCGATGGCCAACCTGTGTCTGGCGCCCACGGTGCGAGCCGCTTTCCAGCAGGTGCCCAGTCATGACCAGAAGATTCTGAACCGCATGGCGGGAAAGCGGAGCCAGCAGGCCGCCGACAAGGAGACCGCATGGCTGGCCAGAAAGTTCTGGGAGAACGAACGACTGGAGCGACAGCTTCTGCGGGTTGAGCAGCTGGAGGCGTACAAGCAGGCGGTCCACGACAAACAGTTCCAGGACTTCCTGGTGACCAAGGCGCGGCTGCAGACCTTGGCTGAGCGGGATCTGGCGGAACTGAAGCGATTGCGTGGAGCGCTTGACGCCAAGGACGCCGCAGCCAAGAAGCGGCTGGAGGCCCGGCGACTGGAGCGGGACCTTAATCTTTGCCAGCGACGGTGTGAGGAGTTGCGACGCAGTGAGGCCGTCACGGTCCAGCAGGAGGAGCAGCACCTGGACGAGACGCTGCGCAAGCGTGACATCTGCATGCGACTTACCCAACGGCTGCGTCGGGCGGACGAGTTGCGAGGCCAGCTTTTGGAGTCGTACCTGAAGCGGATGCAGCACGACAACTATCTGGAGCAGGTCCATCACGAGGAGCACTGGCGGGAGCGACAGCAGGAGGAGCGGCTGCGCAGGGATCAGCTACGTGGTGACATCGAGCGCAAGAGGCACCAGTCCCAGCGCTTCGTCGAGTGTCGCCAGCGGCGCCAAGATGATCGCTTCCGTACCGCCAAGATCTCGGCCAGTCTGCGGGAGCTGGTCCGCCAATCGGTCACTCCCGAAGGCGCCATCAGTGGATCAGTGGGTCAGGATACCCCAGCCCTTAACGTGTATGCCCAGCAACAACTGCAGTTGGGACGTCTGCTCTTTGATCAAACCTCAAGGGAATGAAAAGAGCGTGCAAAAAAATTCAAATGGTTATGTAAATATTAAATTGTTTGTTGGTTTTATGTAAATAAACTGCTTTGGGATGTGAGATAAGTGTTTGGGTACTATTTTGATCTTTGGAGGTATTACTTAAATGGCGCGTTAAGGGAGCTGCACATGTGGCACATTGGAGTATTATAAATATATTAATAATAAACCTTATTTCAACAGATAATCCAATTTTGATGGTAAAGATACCACAACGAAATTAGACTTTTTAAAAGGTGATTAACGAGCAGCGTGGTACATTGTCAAAAACTATATACCAACATTTTAAATTTATGTGTTTGTCTTTATCTCCGTATTTGAAAACTTTCAAAAAAAATTTTAAAGCCATATTTATTCAAAATTGACGTACACAATAACTGATATCTGATAGTCGTTTTATAACTTCTGATATTTCAAATATAACATTTTAAACGAAATCACACTCAATTCTATTATGTGATGTCACAGATTAGCAATACAAACTAAAGATGTTGCGCCTAGTCTAGATTAATTAAATTAATGATCATAATACATAATCATTTGTTTCATTCTTATTTAAGTTTAATCTTTATAAAACAATTTTAAAAAAATTGTGAGACTAAGATTATATTATGTACTTTATAAGTAGGCAATACGGTATTGAAATACTTTTTAATTGATTTCCGATATCTTCAAATATTTTATGCTCCCCCATTTTTCAATTAAATTTGATATTTTTGGAATGCACGGGGCACGTTCTTTGGTTTAGCATGAGTCATTAATCGACCCCAGCATATTATTGAAATGCGACAAAAAGATTTGGAGTACAAAGATCCGGCAAACAATAAGCGAACCGTTCATTGAACGGCGATGATAACAAAGACATAAAATCCATAGGGAACGGGGGAGGAGGAAGTTGGGGTAGAACAAATCTTGGTTTATGTTTATGGAGACGCAAGTGAACCCCACCCTGAACCTGCAGGAACTCCAGAGCACGTAGGTAGGTAGAGCAGTCCCCAGTGAAGCCCCCTGGTTGAAAAGCCTTGATTGGGTCAGTGTCCGGAGAGCAAAGATTCCTCTTAGCATCTCAGTCTCCAGCGATCACGTTCCGGATGTGCAAACACTCAAAGTGAGTGGCCAGGAGGTGCACATGCATATGCATCCCAACCTGAGACAAGGTTATCGGTCCGCTGGTAGTCTGATTCATCGCCGACCTAGGCCAGCGGTCACTTCCTCAGTTCAAGCTTTCCGTCTCTATCAAAGTTAATTAGATTAACACTTTAACTGCTCTCTCGCTTTCAGCAGCTCAAGTGCATAATTGTTGTGGTGGTTTTGTAATTGAAACAAATTTTGTGCAAGCATGGCTTAAGTAGTAATGGGTTTTTTAGGTATGCTATGGAAGATGTGGAATTTTTGGAATTTATTCTGATACCTTATCCATTATTTCTTATTTACTTGGTATATAGTTTCCTTTATACATGGACTGAAACAAATAAAAAATAAATATATTTTTATTTTCTTTAAACGGGGAAAAAAGTAAATGTGATTTAACAAATTTAGTTAATTACAAAAAAAAATTACTTATTAATATGCCCAACAACAAAACAAATATAATTTATTCTTCGAGGGCAAAGTAGAAATACAAATTATTATGCATTCCATCGTTATCAGTTTAAATATTTTAATAGAGGTATTATTATCTACAAATAAATGAATGAATGGAAAGGTGTCGGAAGTTCAGCTTAAAAAAAATATTATACATTTTTTATTCTATCTTTAGCTGACTTATTATACAATAATTTTTTTGATCTATTTTGTTATATTGTTTAAAAAGTATTTAGTTGTAGAAATTATGGACTTCAAAAAGGTATTAACATTTTTGTTCTTATTTTTCCATTTTTATTAAAAAAATTTTAATTTTATTTAACAAACCAAAGTTCCATTTAAATAACTAAACTGCAGGGTTCGTTGCATAACGATTTAGATGGGTATGATATCTACTTTACTTTACATCCATTTCTACAACAAATGTATAAGCAGAGAGAAAGGAATCTATTATTGTATAATATTCTGGAAATTTTTACTTGCGCTTTTTATAATCTGGCTCTAAATCGCCCCTTTGTTGGCCTCTATCTATTAATCGCTTCTTCTAGCTAATTTACGATTTGTGTTCACATTTTATTTTTGTATTCAATAGGTACACAAATACACGCGTGCAAATATACAGACTTATGGCGATAAGCCCTGAACTGGGTTTCATAAGACCCTGAGATGAACGTTAAACGTGGACAGGGATATTTTATCAAATACGAATACAAGAGTGAATTATGATAGCAATATGTTGATCACATTTTAAATATTCATTTCCGCTAAAATGAATTATAATTTACCAGAAATTGCAATCTTAGTATTTATTATCACCGGTACTCATGCCGACCCTTTAGAAAAGTGTACCCTTTAGAAATTTAGTGTACACAGTGTTAAATGTAGAACCGAAATCAAGAATCGACAATGGATATGTTACATCAAACAAGTATATAAATGTTCAGATTTTAAAAACTTGTAAGTATCCGAATTTTCAACTAACAATGTAGATTATATATTATAGATTAAACCTTCATAAGTCCGAATTTATAAAAATTTTGAGAGCTACAAATACTTTAATTGCCATCTCCTATATTTAGCTTTATTTATATTTTGATTCCACATTTTTGCACGATTTCTATTTCAAATTTTTTGTTTGTATTTTGTTTTTTTAACTCTGGTTTTATGTTGTTTTTTATTAGTTGGGTGTCTTGCTACTTTCACCTCGCAGCTGCGTTTGGCAATCACACGTTTGCGACTTGCGACATTGAGGCGGAAGATAAGACGGTCGGGCCTTAGAAATGTTTGCCAAATCTTCGATTGCGCAATAATAATGCATTTTCTCGTGATGAATGGAGCTGTCATTAAGTTGTCCTTGCCCAATAAGGGAATTGTAATTTTCTTAAGGAATGAAAATGCTTTTTTAAGAGTCTCAAAAAGTTTATATTAAATAAATCTACCATATATCCAAACATATCCAGTTTTTCCAATTCAATCTTTCATATGTTAATGATGGACTACAACGTTCTTTATCATTGCAATATTAGTATTTTATTTAAATTTAATAACATTTGTTTTATTGGTTTAAATTTATATGGTTTTTTAAATTTAAGTTTAAAAATATAATTAATTTTTCATTAATTGTAATTAATTATAGAAATATAAATACACTATTTGAAATTCGCTGAACAGACTGTAAGTTAGGTGGTTATTAAAAGATCATATCTGGATTTATTTCCAAACTAATCCAACATATCTTATCGTTTCTTGACTACAGCGTTCTTTCCAGATTTACCATTGAAACATTACTACTTTTATAAAAATTAAAAACTTTTCTCTTTATTTAATTTGGCTCAATTAAACAGAATGTTAATTTTAAATAACAGTAGCAATATGTATACACTATTTAAAATTAGCCAAATAAACTAGTAAGTTATGTGATTAAGATCAATATTTAATATTAAATGAGTTTTCGGTATAGTATTTTCACAATGTAACAATAATTAATTGCGCCCGACTCGGTGTTATTGCCTCTACAACGCTCCTAATACTTAATGCAGCCACTCCTTGGACCTCAGCTCTCGATGGCCTCGCTCTCCAGCTGGGCCTCGATAATCTCGGCATGCTGGCGCACCATGTGGTTGTTCAGGTTGCCCACGCTCTGGTAGCACTTTTCGCAGTACTCGCAGGAGAATGGCTTTTCGCCGGTGTGCACCAGCAGGTGGGAGTTCAGGTGACCCCGGGTGAAGAAGGCCTTCGAGCAGGTGTCGCACTTGAAGGGCCGCTCCATGTTGGGGTTGTGCGAGCGCATGTGGGTGCGCAGATCCGACTTGGTGGGCCAGCTCTTCGAGCACCGCTGGCACTCGAAGATCCGCGGCTTGGCCTCGCCGGTGTGGGTGCGCAGGTGGGACATCAGCTGGGTGCGCAGAACGAAGCGCCGCTCGCAGTGCGGACAGCCAAAAGGACGCTCCTTCGAGTGAACCGACTTCACATGGTACCGCAGGCTGTGCCGCGAGGCGAAGTTCTTGCCACAATCCTCGCACTGGTACCGCATCTTGCCCATTCTGTGCACGGAGCTCAAGTGCAGCTGCAGCTGGAAGTTGCGGGTGAACTTCTTCTCGCACTCGCTGCACGGGTGCAAGGATCGCGGGGTACTAGCCTTCCGCTCCGCCTTGGGTTTCTCGTTTTCTGGCCGCGACTTGGTGTTGGTCCTCCGCTTTTTGGGCTTTTGGCCTACAGGTTTAGGGGCTTCTGGTTGCTCAGGGCTTTCTGGAGGCGTCGGTGGCAGCGGCTGAGCGACTTCAAAGGGCTCCGTGGTCTCCGGCTGATGGTGCGGCGTGTTCAGACTCCCCGAATCCACAGAAAGTTCCCAGTAGGAGGGGGCTTCATATTCACTGGACGGGCTCTCCTGGAAGTCCAAATTGTCTGTGGTCATAGAAAGAAAGGATACATTATTTAAAAATAATATTTTGTCATGTAATACAGGTGTTATTATATAAAATTTCGCAAAAAATCGTAAGACAACTTTCCAGAAAGTAAAGGTTTTAAAAAATAAAGTAAATATTTCAACGGCGTTATAAAAAAGGGCGTAATCATCAAAAAATTTGACACTTTAAATAAGTTTTATGTCGATATGGGCTTTTTTTTTATTTAAAAAAAGTTAAAAAAGTAATTATTTTCTTTAGATTATCTCTTAAATCACCTTTTAGGTATGTACTTTTTGTGACAAGGTAGTGAGTTCTGAGTATCTCATAGTCATAATCTTGACCAAGGCTAAAGAACACATTTCAATAAACACTTAAATTTAATTTATTCTTTTATGTGTACATAAACTTTGACATAATAATAATAAATAAAATCTAATCTGCTTTATTAGAGAATAATAAATACACAAAATATAAAATATTATTTAAACGCTTTTAAAAAAAAATTTAAATCAGTTTGTGAGATTTAAGGCTGTGCTTCTGGTGATATTCCTTAGTTTTCAAAGTGAGTTCGGTTGTTTAATGGTTTTTAAAACTGTTTGTGATTTTCTGGAGAAGCTAAGAGTTTCATTCTTACCGAAATCCACGGTCTCCATTAGCGGCGCCACATAGGCCACCGGCTTGCTGAGCTGTTGGGGCATGGACACCGGTCCCTCCAGGCTGCCCACCTCCCGCTCCAGGCACTCGAGCACATCGTCGAGGGCCAGGGCGTCACCCACGGCCACCGTGTGCTTCCACTGCTCGTGCCGCGAGCGGAGCACCTGCTCGGATTGCTCGCACCGCTGCTGGAAGTCGCGGGCGTCGTGCAGGCGACGCAGGCAGAGTTCGCAGATCACGTCGGTGAGATTGTCGCCGGGATCCAGGAGCAGGGTGGGTGCCAGAGCCTTCAGCTCCACGGCCAGGCGGCTGGAGGCGTCATGGAGACTGTGGTACAGCGGCGGCTGCTCCAGCAGACAGCAGCGGCAGACGAGCGGGTGGTGCAGCAGCAGCGAAAACATAATACTTTGATATTCAAATCTTTTTAACGGTCACAAAATTGCTTGTTTTTTTTAAATTACGTTAGCAGTTTCACTTTGAAAATTCAAATTGCCTGACTTGCACTGACATTCATTATAGATTTGCACTTTGGGTATTCATTTTTTGAAATCTTTCGAAAACGAATCGGTTTTATCCCAGGCTTAATACTTGGTGCGTCTGCTCGGATCGCCGGCCGCTGGACGTCTGAGGGTGCGGTCCGCATCCGATCCATTCCAATCCGCTGAGCAGTGCTGCCGGCATTGGCGATGGCTATCAGGAATGGCGACCGGGGGCGCACCGATAGCCCTTGGCTTGGGCGATAAGTCACCGTCGGTATGGCTGGGGGAGGTGGGGGCACACAGAGACAACAGGAGCAGCATCAGCAAAGGGCGGGGTGGTTGTCGAGGGGGTGGGTGGGGTAGGGCTGCTATCGACGGTCAACGTCAGCGTTTGCTAATTTGCAGTTGGTGCCTGCTAATTGATTACCTCGGTGGACAGATCGAGGACGACTGTCCCTGAACCGCGATAAGGCCGTATACCGATTCGTCGTTATTTGGGTGGTCCACATCTCATCGCCGAGAGTCGAGTAGACCGATATAGATTCGAACCGGACCTTATCACCGTGCTTAGTGATCTTTTCACAGAGGGTTTCCCAGTTGTCTCGCAGTTGTTGTATTCACCGCTAACTTTGGGCAGTCAAAACGGCTCAAGGAGTTGGCCAACTTACTTGCCGTGCTTGGAAATACCTTATAAAAGTCCCTAAGAATCAGATGCTGCAATAATTGCCCTCAAATTGCATCAGTTCATAGGGTTTTCCGATTACGGCAAGAAGAAGACGTCGGCGACGGGGGAAGCCTCAACAAAGAGCATTTGTTTTGGGCATGAGCTCATTATCTCGACTGGGCGTGATGTCTTGGGATCTAAAGTTCAGACGCCACTATCAATATAAAAATCGTAAATTCCGCTTTAGTGAAATTTACAAAACTTTTCCATTTACAAGACATGAAGTTAAAGATAACAGGCTTGTCTGGGAGTAAATTAAAATTACATTGAGGATTAATTGAATTTATAGTATTTGTTTACTAAAATATCTTTAGAAAAGCCGGACCGATAAAGAAAGGAAATCTTTTCATTTAATTCGAGCATTCTATATTGACTATTTATACATTTCCAGAGATTTGAATGAAAAGTTTGCAACGCAGTGAAGGAGACTTTTTAGAGATATATATATTCTTTATTAGGATTTTTTATACCACATATATATTGCTAACGATCGTTCAACTGACATGAAATTCTTCAAAAGTCCCATTATTGTGTAACGTGTACCTTTTTTTATCGTTATTGGCTTGGAAGAAAAAAAAAATTTAAGGAGTGTTATACAATTCTATAAATAGCAACTGGAACTAGAATATGTGTATTGACTAATCAATTTTTCTTATAACTGCCAAGGTATATATGTAAACTTCGGTTTACTGATTAGATTTTATTAATATTAAATTAATAAACCTAGACCTTTAAAATACAGTTGTAGTACATGCACCCCAAAAATAAAATTGACAAGTTGAGATGAAAGCTTCAGTCCGGGATTTCCCCGTAAAAGCGGCGTTTTATTTGCCAAGAGTCATCTTGGATTGCTGATATCTAGTGATCGTGCATGCTGGACAGCTTCTCACTGATCTGCAGCTGGGTCTTTATCATCATGGAGAGTGTGATGGACATGAGCATGTCCCGCAAGTTGCCATTGAACATCAGACGGAAGTTCTCCGAATCCACCAGTGGCACCGAAGTAAGTGCGTCGTGTAGAGCTCGTCCCACCACGTTGTCCGGTTTTCGTTTTCTAGCCAAGACATCGTTGATGTAGCGCAGAACCAGGTCGAGACGTTGTTGAATGTCCCTAGTGGCATCCACCACTTGAACCAATTCCGGCAGAATGCGTCCCACCTGCTTCGTTGATGGCTGCATCGAATGCTTCTCCATCAAACGCAGGGCCACCGTTTCGGCATTCCCGCTGGTCATCTCCAGGGGCACCATCGAGAACATCAGGCCCTTGGTGCCGCCGGGTACTCCCATCTCCACAGCGCAGTACAGTCGCGTCGAAAGTCGCTGGCTCTTCAGGGTTGCATCCACGAGCAAGTGCAACGGCTGCCCTTTGCCACACTCCCTGGAATAATATTCGTGCAGCTGCATCGCGGATCGGGATACGGATTTTCCCGTGGAAAACCATCCCAGCACACGCTCTTGCGGATAGGTCAGCATATTAAGCTCCAGGATGTCGGTGGCATACGAAAGGTCCAGATCGATGCGGCCACTGTCCGGATGCTCCTTGTGCAGCACAGTGAAGCAATTGGTGATCTCGACAAAGCCCTCCTTGCCGTAGTTGCGACCCAGCAAAGTTCCCATTACCTGATGTTTGTCGTTATGATAGATTACTAGTCAGGAAACGAAGTCCCCATTAATATGTACTTACCTGATTGGCATCCTTTGGGCGGCGCTCATAGGCGTCGATAATTTGGAAAAGCACCAATGGCTGCATTAGCACCTTGGACCGCAAATTAAAATTACTTGACATCCTGAATCTTCCAATAAAAAATAAGTTCAAAAAGGAAATACGTTTTCTACAACGTGAACTCGGCTGCACCTGCGCTTAAATATGCCAAAGCCAGTGTTGTACAATGAAAATAACAACGAGGAGGGGAAGATGACAAAGCTCTTTCATTTCAGCTCTATTAGAAACAATTGGAAATGAAAAACAAAAGCAGTAAGCAAACAAATTTATAATAGAGTTGTATAATAATACAAAATAATGTATGACAAATAGATTTATAAACTTCAACTCAAAATAATTTGTATTAAGTGTGTGCAACGAAGAAAGGAAATCTTTGTCTCTACAAAGTATGTATATTCTAAAATAATTTCTAAATTATAACATCCGTGGATGTAAAAAAAAGTTATAATATTATTATTTATTTACAAAATCCGACTTTAACAAAAAGTATGCTTATGATATTGGCCAGTTTACTTGGCATTCATTATTACTAACACACAACTCATTCTTCTGCTATTTCATGTACTGAGTGTGAGTATTAATAAATGTAATTTGAGAAATATCTACATAGATAAGGAATTATTCTTATAATTTACTTGTATTCTACATCGTATGTAAAAAATAGTTAACAGCGTGTATTCCGCTTGAATCACATTTTTCAGCTGCAAAAAAAATATCTGTCTGAAATAAAAAAATTTAATATTTTTTAAAAAGCTTACATATTTTTTGACTGGGGAATAAATAAAATAAATCAAATGCGATTGTAAGCCTGCAGAAAACCTGTTGGTCAGAGTTCTATAAGTCATATATGCTTGTTAGTGGCTTTTAATACTTTTGATAAAAAGTAATGGTTAGCACTTAAAAATTTAATTAACACATTCCATATTCCTCAATCGGCAGGAACCACACATAAACTCATCTATTTTTGTATGCTTTTAATGGAAGGAGAACGCCAGCTCAAATTTTTCCTCTAATAATGCGTGAACTTGAACCTCAATCATGCCCCCAAATTATTTCCAAACGTAACAAGTTTGACAATAAAATGGGAAATGCCTTAAATTCGAATAGACGATTATTTTATACTCTCTCTTAAACGTAAATAAAAATACAATTTCTTTTTCTTAAAATAATATAATTTATAATTTATTTTAGAAAAGCTGCCTTACATATTAAAAAAGAACAAGAGTCTAAGATATAATATAATATTTTATAAATCGTTTACATGGATTTTACAATTTCAAAAATATTCTTGGTTGAAATAAAATGTAAAAAATAGATTCCAAAAAAGGGCGATAAAGTTAGGCAGACATTATTCCATTTTCCTTATAACTTACTTCTGGTTCCCTCTCAAATCGTGCATTACTTTATTATTTAAATAGTTATTTAAAAAATATATATTTTTAAAATATCTTAAATGACCGTGATCTTTTAAATTTGAAAAGCAATTAATTAAATTAAACACCATTACCGCTTTGAGTGATAAGTGTTACTGAAAGTATATTATTATACGAAGATAACCATTTTTAGGTTTAATAAATAAGATAATCGGCAGAGATGACAATATAAAATCTTCTAAAACCAACACTAAATAAGACTTACATAGCGAAAGCTGTCAAGCTAGTAAAGCTATTCTTTCGTCCCACAACAATCTCCGACATGGATATTTCCAGCAGAGCCCTTGTTTTTAAGTCAGCCATGAAAATCATATGTATTGTACTGGCTGTGAATATATTTTTGGTGTTCCTCGCGATCCATTTTGGTGGTTATCGGTTTGATGACTTCGTGCTGAGCTCGTACATGAGTTACCTGAAGGAGCGTCCCCGGCCGATGACTCCAGAATCCACGGACAGGGGAATCAACATGATGGTGGGCCTATACGTGGCCATCCTTTATTTGCTTTTCCGTACCAGGGAGCACCTGAGACTGCAGAATTTGGAGGACATCCGTCGCCAGCGGGAGTTCGAGGCTCTCTTCCGAATGGAGACAGAGTTCATCGAACATTTGCGATCCCAAGGCATCGAACTACAGGATCCCTCTTTGGATTTCCCCGATCCGAGCTGCGCATAGCCGTCTTTGTCTTGGCGGGCGCATTCAGGAGCCAATCAAATATCTCGTTAATGCCGCCGCCTTGGACAATGTTAATGCTGGAATCAGCGTATGAGTGTATATATAGATCGCACGGCTTGATTGCCCAGAATTGAATTCAACATTTGCCCGCCGAGCCGTGCTCTACACCTACCTACTCTGCTCAATTACCCGACCGATCCAATATAATCCTCCTCGGCCGAGTTGAACGTGCTCGGCTGACATTACTACACACACCACTTATGTATACCGTATATACTACGTACTATATGGATGGATATGGAGAATCGGATAATATACTCGCCGACGGCCGTACACTTCCAATAGTTCATTGTTTGTGCCTGCGCATGAGTATATTTTTATCGCTCACTGTCCCTCCGACTTTGCCTCTGTTCGTGTGCACTTTTCTCTGTTTGAAATAAATTGTAAATGATTTTTATTAAAATTTCCGCTTAAATTTCTCAACGGTAATATCTGGGTCCCTCTCCCCCTCACGCTCTATTTGTATCTCTCGTTCTTTTCTAAATTTACTTTTTATGATTTTGAAATTCCTCGCGGAAAATGATTTTGCCGCCTTTATTCAAATTAGTTTTATGGCGCTCACTTTCGAGAACTTTTATTTCCCTACACATGGCATGGATGACTAAACCTTTCACAGCTTGCAATTTATCTAGACTGAAGGCCTGACTCAATAAATAAAATAGTTTATGGTCGTTTAGTTTCTGAATACTTTGTTTGCCCTTTTCCAGAAGAGAATTGTTTTTATCATAACACAGGTTGACCCTGATTATAATTATTTTATAAGAATGTTCGAAAAATACCGATTTCAAAAATAATGATTTTTGTTTTTTTAAAGAAGTATAAGTAGGTTTCGAGAACAAATATCTCTTGAAATTGTGGAAGCGTTCATATGTTTTCTATCAAGGGTAAAATAAATTAATATAAACCCCTAAGTTCAAAGAGGTATTTTCTTGATTTTATAAAGTCTATGGTAATATTTTTTATTCAATTTGTAGTTCAATTTGTGTACTTAGATATATGATTTAAACTTACTATGTTTTATACATCTATGGATATAGTAATAAAAGCAAATTAAAGATCCACCCAGGTATTTTAAGCCATTTCCCAAAATTCAGTTAAGATAATATTTTTAGTTGGGCGAAAATCTTTTTAGGTTTCTTTCTATTTTGTTTTTATAATTCAAAATGTTTTCTAAATTCCATATCAATAATGTATTCAAAACAATGTATAACAAAATGCACCGAAAAAAGATTACCCATTCTCTGGAATTCACATTTTCCTTCCACCTGGCACACTGATTCCCTTAACCCAAAATAGACAGATGCACGCTTCCAATGAAACCCATTTCCATTGGTTTTAGGGCCGCTAATAAACCAACTGAAATTCACCTGAATTCGCGGTGGTAATTCCCGTAAAACTTTTGCGCAGGCGCAGAAGAAAGTGGCAATTAATGAGCGAAAATGCGACCTTCAGACTGCAGCAGAAACACGAGAGCACCTGTAGATGATGAAAACAGGTATACAAAGGAGAGAAAGGAGAGGCATAGATTTTTCCCAAAAAATCGTGCGAACCGCTGCAAACCGGTGCACTTACCTGGGAGAGTGAGAAATTCAGAGAGAGACTTATGAGAGAGGGACAGAGGGATCAAGATCTACAGGTGAGAGAGAGCTAATCCATGTTTGAGCGCAGTGAGAGCACGTTGAGCCAAACGTAAGACCTCATTTTCATTCGTTTCCGTTACGTGGTGCGAGGCGGTCGTGTGCGCGGAACTTTCGTCTTTCTTTTCAAGGGGCAAGAATCTCAATCAAAGTTAATTTACAAGTGGACAAAAGAAGTCGAAAATAACGCCCGAACTGATCCATCGGTAACGCGCGGTAACGGTTGCTGAATTCGAAATCGTTAAGCATCTACGTAAGGGAAAAACGCAAGACGGGATCCGCAAGATCTGAAGTCGGAGTGGATCTCTCAGTCCGTGATTCGGTCTCAAAGTCAGCGGTTGTCGCCTCCGCCTCCGTTTCTTTTTATCTCGATTCGTGGCAGCAGGTGATATACAACGAAAAATACAAAATACGATGGCCGAATTCAGTGCAAAGAGTGTGCAATTTTTAAAAAATTATTAAGAAATTCTGTGAAAGGCAAATCACGCAAAGCCGAGTGCAATTGAAAGGCTCGCGAGCAACGAATCTTCTGGAAAAGTATTCCACATCAAAAATAATTTGCAAGGAAAACTTAATCTTGGATAGCAGGCGAAACAATTGGACGAAACATATCAGTGCCACAAGGTGAGTGTAGTTCCCAGAGATATTTTCGCCTCGAAGCTTCCTGATGGTCGCAGTAGAGATGATAAATGCGCAGGTTTTTCCACGAGGGTTGTGGTGTCCAGGGGTTGAAATTTGATTTACTTTATTCATTGGACAAATGCCGGGGCAATTGCGTTTCGGAATGTTTGCTGGAAAGTGCGTAGTTGGGAAAAATACTCTCACAAATACATTTCTAGATACATGATACTAAATCCTTTTTTAAATAGCTAAAGAAAATGAAACTGAGCTCAGGATTTGTTAAGAAAATATAGTTTTTCCTTGTTGGAAATGTTTTCAATATAATCGTGTTAAATAAATTCCTCACAACGCATTTTGGTATGCAACATATTTGTGCAGTAAGGGTATTAAATAGTTGGTGCCATAAAGTAAAACTATCTCTAATAGTTTCATTTAATTTACTGCTTGCTGCTTACCGATTTGTTTTTATTGACAGTGATTATTTTACAAAAGTGATAAATAGTGTGTTTCTCCGAATTTTTACTGTGTACAAATTATGAGCTACAATAGAAGTAAAGTGGGCTCAGTAATTCATCGCTTTGTTGATGGAAAACAGTTCATTAATGTCAGAAGCAAACAAGAAGCAAGCGACATTCTTAACAATTTCATGGACAATTTAAGCTCGAGTTCATCTAACAAATACAAGTTTCGAGACCAAAATATAACTGTAGAAGTCTGTCTCCATTTGCATCAGCCATAAAAAGTAATTGACGTTTTTTCCAAACTGCAAGTGCAATTGCAACAATAATCTGCCACACCGGGCCAAGTCCAACACGCTTGGCTCTTTCATTTGCAATCGGCCGTCGAGAAAGAAACTCAAAACTTTTGACAGGCAAATTAATGAAACTCGAATTGAGAGCGGCTACAATTACTGCTTTGCAATTAAAGCAACACATGAGCAACAGAAAGTGGGGCACAAATAAAAAATCCCCGATCAAATTAATCTGGAAAATGGCCAAGGAAAATATGTAAATGCATTGACCAATAGACCCACTCGTCGGAAACTGCGGATGCCCCTCTCACATGTGTTTGCATTTTTTGATTCGGATACATCTCGAAAGCAAGAGTGATTACATAAACTAAACTTTGGTGATCCGGTTTGGCTGATGGACCTGGTGCCACTGGGTTGCGGACATAACCGAGGGAATGTTTCGGCCCAGTTAATGAAAGTTCGAGTGAAATTCGCGGCAAAAAAGGAAACCGGTTGATTGGCTCATCCCTATAATCGATTTTCATATGAGGGTCCCAATTATGCTCAAGGTTAAAGCCGAATTTGGTAACGACGTACAGTTGCACGATTAAGATTTTGAGCCGAGCCGGAAAAGCCACAGGTAGATGGATTTTCCACCCTCGTCTTGGCCAGTTTTGAGTGGACTGAACTGCAGGTAGTCTGCAACCGAATCCTAACCGCCTTGAACTGGTTTTATTACTCTGATTTTTTATTGTATTTGGAAAATTACTTTATGTAGCCAGACACCACAGGATACCCCATCGCACACGAATCAGTTTTATTGCTCTATTAGTATTTCACGGTGTTTAATTAGCAACTCCACAACCAGCTCATAATTTGCTAAAATTCAGGCAAAATATAATTGAATGTTTGCTTAAATGATTAACGGCCACGAATGTTGTGAAAATGAGAAGCTCCAAGTTGATATTTGGCCCAAAGCATAGTAAATTTTGCTAAGTGCTCGAGCAAGCTAATTATAGTTAAATAGTTAAACGGGTGGAAAAGAGTATAGGCGAGGGGCATCTTGAAAGGAAAAGTGCCCTCTATCTTCGTCTCTCTCTGCTCAGAAGCTCTCTGTTGGTTTCAGTTCAGAAATACCGTTACAAACGGCCATATGTGTTGTACATATGATATGCGATCAGCCTTGCACTTTCTTTTTCTTTCTTCGCTTCTTTCTCTTTGTGTCTTCACCGCCATTTCTTCTCAGAGAGTAAGTTTTCGATTTTTTGTCGTTTGGCATTTGAGACTTTTTGCCGTCGTGTGTGTGTCAATTGGTTGATTCATTAACTCGCCGTTGATGGCCGGAAAAACTCTGTCATAATTAACTAATTTCCAAGGAAAGTAAGTCTAGTAAGCTAGTAAAAGTGAACGAGAAAGTGTAAGTTATGGAAATGACTTTTTTCCGCTCAATTAATTATAGCAGAGCGATGCTTAAAGAAATTACAGAAGATTAAGCTTGTTCTAGTGGAAAATTACACAATGATGATTACAAATGATAATCAAGACACAAATATTCTGAATCTGAACGTGTCTATGGACACGTCTTCCTAAATTATTAAAGCTACAAAAATAATTTGAAAAGGATTTCTTACAGTTTTTTTTAATTTAGTTCTAGCTTAAGGAACTATATGTCAGAACTGAATATTTTATAAAACAAGAAAGGAAAGCTAACTTCGGGCGGAGCCGAAGTTGAAATACCCTTGCAGAATATTCTGCAAATTATATTCTCCAAAATTATTCATATGATGCATTTTTAATACTCATAAAAAATCCCACCTTCCTAACTTTAAAAACACCAAAGTTATTTCATTTCCGATCAATCAGTTATATGGCAGCTATAGGATATAGTCGGCCGATCCTTATGAAATTTAATATGTCGAATTGATTGGGCAACAAGAAAGGAAAGCTAACTTCGGGCGGAGCCGAAGTTGATATACCCTTGCAGAATACTCTGTTATTATATTCTCCAAAATTATTCATATGATGCATTCTTAATACTCATAAAAAATCCCAACTTCCTAACTTTAAAAACACCAAAGTTATGGCATTTCCAATCGTTCAGTTATATGGCAGCTATAAGATATAGTCGGCCGATCCTTATGAAATTTGGTATGTCGGATTGATTGGCCAAAAATAAAACCCATAGAAAATCCCAACTTCTTAACTTTACAAACACCAAAGTTATGGCACTTCCGATCAATCAGTTATATGGCAGCTATAAGATATAGTCGGCCGATCCTTATGAAATTTGGTATGTCGGATTGATTGGCCAAAAATAAAACCCATAGAAAATCCCAACTTCTTATCTTTAAAAACACCAAAGTTATGGCTTTTCCGATCGTTCAGTTATATGGGAGCTATATGATATAGTCGCCCGATCCGGCTCGTTCCGACTTATATACTACCTGCAATAGAAAGACAACTTTTGGGAAAGTTTCAAGCAGATAGCTTTAAAACTGAGGGACTAGTTTGCGTAGAAACGGACGGACAGACGGACAGACGGACAGACGGACAGACGGACAGACGGACGGACAGACGGACGGACAGACGGACAGACGGACATGGCTAGATCGACTCTCCTGGTGATGCTGATCAAGAATATATATACTTTATAGGGTCGGAAATGTCTCCTTCACTGCGTTGCAAACTTTTGACTGAAATTATAATACCCTCTGCAAGGGTATAAAAATAAAACTCATAAAAAATCCCAACTTTCTAACTTAACAAACACCAAAGTTATGGCATTTCCGATCAATCAGTTATATGACAGCTATAAGATATAGTCGGCCGATCCTTATGAAATTTGGTAGGTCGGATTAATTGGCCAAATATAAAACCCATAGAAAATCCCAACTTCCTAACTTTACAAACACCAAAGTTATGGCATTTCCGATCAATCAGTTATATAGCAGCTATAGGATATAGTCGGCCGATCCTTATGAAATTTGGTACGTCGGATTGATTGGCCAAATATAGAACCCACAGAAAGTCCCAACTTCCTAACTTAACAAACAGCAGAGTTATGGCATTTCCGATCAATCAGTTATATGGCAGCTATAGGATATAGTCGGCCGATCCCGGCCGTTCCGACTTATATACTGCGTGCAAAGGAGAGAAGGGTGTGTGCAAAGTTTGAATTCGATATCTTTAAAACTGAGAGACTAGTTCGCGTAGAAACAGACAGACGGACAGACAGACGGACAGACGGACATGGCTATATCAACTCAGGAGGTGATCCTGATCAAGAATATAGGGTCGGAGATGTCTCCTTCACTGCGTTGCACACTTTTGACCAAAATTATAATACCCTCTGCAAGGGTATAATGAAAGATGAGCGGTGCAGATACATTTCTAATTTAACACTTAATTTCTTACTAACAGTATATTGAGAAAGTAATTTCAAAGTAATTGTCCAAGTGCCTACGAGGACCGGAATTGCTTAGCCATTAACAGGTTACCAAATCTTGATGCACTTAATTTCCTTTATATTGGTCTTAAAGCTGCAATTAATGAATGAAATCAGATTAAGATACTTTGGTCTCCGCTCCACTGACCTACAGATCTGTGACTAAACAAAGCGCCGATAAATTCAAAATCAAAACATTTTCTTAAACAGCTCGCCAGGTAAATGGTTAATTAATGCAAAGCAAACAAATCAAAAAGCTGAATTCAAATTGAAAGCGGTCACCCAGTGTCCGTGTGTGTGACGTTGTGTTTGGGCCAAGAGCTGTGAGTGCCCGTGTGACCCAGTTCAGGCTGAACGCATGCCGCTGGAATCGTTCCCTTCCGTCCCGCACCGTTCAGTTCGGCAATCCAGTCGGTTAGTCAGTCAGTCAAGAGGCGCGGAAAAAGTAGAAAGTGAATTTTTATCTTGGCTTCTGGCTCGAGGCAGAACCTGCCCTGACCCACCCCCACTTCCACCGCACCTCCACACACAAAAACAAAAACAGTCAAAAAGTGTTAAGGCTTTCAATGTTAAATGTTTAGCCCCGAAGTAAACTAATTAAAATTCATTGCAAACCGTTGTGTGGCAACCAATTTCAATTGTAAGCGACCTTTTTTCAGCTGGCAAACTGTGGCCAAAAAACCGACAGTCTATATATGTATAAATTTATAGATAAATGTGAATCGGCTTAAGCCGAGTTAGCGTAGTAATTATAAATATTTTTGTCGATATGTCACTCCCACACGGTAAGGTCATCAATCGCTCTTGTGTTCTACTTCAATGACTTGACCCCAATTTTTTTTTGAGGCAAAACCCACTGTTAAGTAGTTAATAACAAAAAATCATTTCGAAACCGAATTCCCAATAGCAAAATATATTTAAATATTAATTAATATTAATTTGGTAATTTCTCGGCATTTATGCTTTGTGCCACCGCAACGCACAAAAGTGAAAGTTGTTGACTTGGTCAGAAAGAAAAACTCGCCAAAAGCTTGCATTCGTTTTGCTCGCAATCAATTTTTGCGCTGCGCGTTTTTCGCCTTCTTCTGTTTCTTCTTCTTCTGCTTGTAAATATACATTATATAAATTGTTAAAGCCAAACAACGGCAGCAACAACAAACATCTAAACGGGGCTGGACAAAACTGGCTGGAGTTATGTAAGCCTGCCGAGCTAACAGTGATTAAGGCGGTGATGAAAATGTGTCAGTGAACTGTCGAAAAGTCCCTTTTGGCTAAGAACGGATACAAATAGAATAAATATACTTATTATTTTATTCTCTACAGAGAAGGGAAGGAAATATACTTAATGCTTCCTAGAAAAAAGAAATCCAGAAAAGAATAAATCAGAAGTTATACTTTTACTTGACCCGAAAATGGACAACGACTAAAAATTCTTTTAGAGGGCTATCAATTTTATAAATGTGAAAGAAATACAATAACAAAAAGGCAGTGAGAAAAGCAAATAATAAAACGTCAAATGGTTCGACACAGAAAGTAAAAACAACAAAACAAAAGACTGAAGCGACAAACTCATTTTGGTCATCAACTTTCTCGGACCAAAACGTAAAAGCTTTTGAAACGCATACCAATCCCAGGCTAAACATACGCATATAGTTGAGTATTAATAAAAAATATTTGCATATAAAAAAATTGGGTTGGCAAAAGCAAAGAATCCGCCTTGTATCATACAGACTTGACCTAGAAATTATGCAAAAATAAAATCCAACAAAAAACTCTTCTCTTAGAAGACACAAGTTGACAGTTTTCTGGGAGGGAAGTTTCAGGCAAAAATCGGTTTTCTTGGCACGCAGCTTGAGGTTGTTCAAGGCAGGTGCCTTGGCTCTGACTCAGGTGGCGAACGAAAAATTGAATTTTGTGATTTCAGCTTCGCCTTTAGTTTCATAAGATGCCACAAAAAGTCGCTTTAGTCATAGAGGCTATAAGGAAAAAAGCATGATATTGCATTTTGTACAAATGTATTTATTCGGGCACATTTAATGTCATTCACAAATGTACAACTGACTTCAAAAAGCTGGAGAAAAGGGGGAGCCCATATGATTATGAAAACTAAAGCGTGGATGAGTCGACACCGATCTTGCGACATGCATTTGTAAAGTTCATTAATGGATTTTGAACCGAATCTGAAGCTGTTTGTTATGCCAGCTTACCCATATTGTACAACATTTATATTTAACTTTTGCATAACGGCTTTGCAGCTGGAGGCCCCAATTGATGGGTCATTAATTGGTAATAGGAGCTGGATGAGATAGTTGGAAACTTCCTCGAAATTCGCAGACTCTTCATGCTACATTTTCGACGCACTTCAAATCAATTAACACATCCAAAAACCGTTTTCCCAAGTATGGGAACGCAAATATTGATACTTCCCGAGGAAAGAAAAAACCTACGCAGCTGGTCTGTCCGCGTTGTTTATTAAATCATTTTGACATAATGAACCGTTATGTCAACGGAGGGCCGGGCGTCTGAAGTCGGCGTTGGAGTCAAAGTTGGGCCCGAAGTCAGAGCTATAACCTTGAGACGGCTCCGTGACTCAATTTGGCGAGCGAAGTGCTCGGCTTAAGAGCAAGCTGGACTGCTCGACTTGGGCATGTTGTAACCCAAGTGTTTACTGTACGAAAAGCAAAACAAGATTGTTACAATTCGGTAAAAGTGCAGCGTCAGTTGTCGTTGAACCCCAGACCAGAAAAAAAATGGAAAGTAAACTTGTATAAACTTTACGTGTCTTGGCAGCTCGACAAATCGAATTTTTCGGTCTGCCGCTTAGCATGCAACAAGTAATGTGAATTATAGTTTCAGCGCAATGATTAGACATGAAGCAATTCAAGAGCAAACGCCTGCCTGGCGATGCTTCATCTGCGGCTACAGTTTCTGCTGCCATTTTGTTGATTTTCTCTGTCTAAATGGTTTTCCTTATGTTTTTTTTGCCATTCATTGGCTGTTGACGACGACTATTAACGTCGGGCAAGTGCCAATGCTAATGTTCTATTTATGTACGGTAATCCTTTCTGCCTACACATTCATAGTACCTATGCGCCCAAATTGGCTTGTGACACTCTGTGTTTGGCATGATAAATGGCCCACACTAATTGCGCAGCTTGTGTAGCGAAAGAAAAATATTCATCAAAACATTTGATGATAAGTGCTGAGAATGACATTTATCCAAAGAATTTAAAACCTCGAAAGCATTCAAGAAATAAATGATATAAGTAATCTCACCGCACCCTTAAAAAATAAAAAAAATAAAAAAGACCAAAAAGCTAGTTTTGCGCCCCCGGGTGGACTCGAACCACCAACCTTTCGGTTAACAGCCGAACGCGCTAACCAATTGCGCCACGGAGGCAGTTGGTGCTCTGCCGGCGCATGTTCTATTTCCATTGACTGGGGCTTGTCTGTACCGCTGCTGTTGGGCTCACAGCAAATTAAGCTGCTTGGCATTTCTTATTAGAATTTATTTATATTCTTATTTGATTTGTTCCCCGTTTCGTGCGTGCTGTGAAATTTAGTGAATTTTTTCGGTGTTCGCATGGCCTCCGTGGCGCAATTGGTTAGCGCGTTCGGCTGTTAACCGAAAGGTTGGTGGTTCGAGTCCACCCGGGGGCGATTCAATTTTTTTGCACCCGTTTTTTAATCCATTTTTGTTGTATTTTTTGTGATCACAATTTAATTGCGTTAAAATGTTATTGCTGTGTACTTGAGTTCTTAAAGCGTGTTAATGAACATTATTAAGGGTTTCCTTTTCATTGTGTTTTTTTTTTGCTTTTTGTTGTTCAGTGATTTAGAGATGAACAAGGGCATTTGTTGAGATTCGTTTAGGCAAACAGCAGCAAAGTAAGGCAACCAAAAACAATGCGTGTCTAAAGTTTAAGTTGAAGGTGTCGATGAACAAAGCCAAGTAGACACGGCAACGAGCACGCGGTACACATGTTTGTAGATACATTTAACGATACTAATAATATGTACAATAGAGTTATTCCATCTTGCCTTAGCCATTTGTCTTTTCACCTTCACTAGACAAATCGCTTTAGGGGTTTTCAAAGCACGCGATTTGAGAGTTTTAATATAATATTAGGTAATGCAATCTTTAGTTTTTCTCTTAGAACTCTGAACTGAGCTAATTTTTCGTTCTCCTTCTTTTTACAGATGACTTGCGGCATATCGTGTGTCGATAAGACACTAAACAAATCGTTTTACCATCTGGGAATATGCATAGCCAAGCATCCTGGATATTTTATTATTATTCCTGTGCTACTGACGCTGCTCTGCATGACGGGGTAAGTGAATCGATGTCAATTATGGAAATTAATAACTAATCTTTAAACTAAATTTAACAGCTACCAACAGCTTAAGTATCAAATCGATCCCGAATATCTATTTTCGCCGATTGCGGGGGAGGGAAAGACTGAGCGAGCTATCGTTGAGCAATACTTCAAAGTGAATTATACGCATCGCTTCAATGTCGGACGAATTACAAGACCCGGTAAGTGGCGGCAAATATGTACACAAAGTGACTACCGTGGCAAACATTGGCCAAGTGAAATTGGCTTAGACTCACGTCGGGCAATTAAATGTTTCCACACTTTTTGCACCTTGCGGAATGTGGCCATTTGCCGGCTTCCTGGCGCTTTTTCCATCCCATCCCAGCCTAATCTGTTTTGTTTTGTCTCCGCCCAGCACTGACTTTCAGCTCAAATGTGCAATAAATAATTTCAGCACAGGGCTGAGATGGAGACATAATATCTTAGCTTTTATGGAGGTCTTGAACTCGGGTCCGTTTTACAGGCTATTAACTTCGCTAAATGGTTTATTGGGCAAAAACAACCACCAACGCCAAACAATAATAATAGTAACAGCACAAAACATTAGTAATAATTGCAGCTACAACAATGTCAAAAGCTAGCTTCACCAAAGTACCGCATAATTGCTTAAACATTTAAGTAGCTAATTTTTAGTGAAATCAATTTTGAAACTAAACTGTGATAGCATATCTTGAAATTACAATTTGAATAACATTTTATTACTTGTAAAAGAGTGGGGTTTTATTAAAAAACTAATTTATTTAACTACACATTTATAAGATGTATAAAATCTAAAACCTTGAACATTCGTCTTACACTCTCACTTATGGGTATATTTTAGTGAGCGTCGATTAGAAGTCTAGATGGGTACGGAATGTTTGAACAAACTTATTTGTTTCAACGCAAACTGAGAGGTTAGCTAGGTGCAATACCTTACCTCACCCTAAACATTTGCATATTTTAGGCTTAGTTTTTCCAGTCGTTTAACCGGACTTAATTGCCTGTTGCAAAAAATTAAGCAATCCGGACCTCGCGTAGTTTAAAAATGGGAGAAACGTGTGCCCTAAGCCAATTGAGCTGCGAATCAAATAAAGTTTGTTTGCAAAAGCCTCATAAAGCGACTTGAATGTTTGCCGCTCAAAAAGAGCACATGCAATTGTTCTTTCGAAATCATTAGCCTCATTCTGCGAATATGATCTCGATGTGCACTGAGCAGTTCTCGGCTTGAGAGATGCATGCAGATCAGTGCATCTGCTTTGAGTACGTCAGAGTATTAAACTGTGACGAGCTCTCGAATGGAATATACGCAAGCCATATATATCTATCGGCTCATCATTGAACTTTGTTTGGACAGTCGGCTGGTAATAGGCAGCCAGCCAAGATACAAAAAAACCCGTCAAGTGTGTGGAGGCCACAAGACACAGCAAACCGTGCAGATACACAGCCACATCCATGCGATCGCTGTTGCTGCTCTTAACGGTAACATATAGACCGCATTTAGTCGGTTACGACCAGTTAGCCACCAAGCTCAGTGCTCCGCTTCGATTGCACTTTGGCCAAATGTGCCACAAGAGGCGTGCAAGCTGCAACTTTCCCCTGCCTTTGGGAAATTTGTTTATGGACCGAAACAGAGGAAAAATCCGAAAAAATAATTAAATTACTCGCTTTGTTATTTCGCAAAAATAATACAAATGGAAAAAAAACTGATGTGCTCGATAAATATTTTAACACAGTCTAATTTATCACAGTTTTTTGTTGATCCTGCTGCCGGAAAGTAAAGATTTCCGGATGTTTGTTTTCCTGTATTATCACAAATAAATTGTTGTCATTAAGTTTATTTTTTGTGTGACGTTAAAATAGTCAGAGAAAAAATTAATATTATTTGATTCCTCAATTCGTTTGATGAATTGTAAAGACTTCTGGTTTATTCGGTCCGCAATCAATGGAGGTTGTCTTTGTTTAATATTAAATATCATTCATAACAAAAAAATGCCTCTACAACGTGAATGGTTTGCTGATGGCTTTTAATATTTGAGCAAATTCAAGTTCATTCACAACTTATATTATAATTTTGGCAACGAAGCTTTGTATTCCCTAGCTTTTTAAAATACCTTAGAAGATATTTTTTGCATTAAATTAATAATTAATTATTTAAAACATTACATTTCTGTCAGTATACCCTATCTACTACTAGATTAGGCACACATCTTTTGAATTAATGATTAATAAAATAATATTTTAATTTGTATAGTTTAATTAAAACAGGGTGCATAAATGCTAGGTATATTTTACGCCAGGTTTGTTGCTTTGTATTTCGGCTTAAACTTCTTTATTAAAGAAAGTGTAAAAAGTCTTGTATCCTTTCTTCTTTTACTTGAGTTGTACGAGAAGTCTGGCACGTTTGCCAATTCTTCAATGTAGTATAGTTGGATATATCTAATATAAAAGTCGCATCAATACTGTGACGCAAGTACACGAGGCTGCATTTGTTATGGCGCATTAAATACAAATAACGATTGGGACAATCAACTAATATAAAGTGGAAGTGCGATAAACGGGCAAACAGAAAATCAAATGAAATAATCGAGCGAAACCGAAATCGAATGGAATCAAATTAAAATTATTGTCACGTATTGGCGTGTGGGTAACAGCAGCAGCCGCATTAGCCTTCAAGCCTAAGTCCACAAAGCCACTAATTGTTTGCCGTGTGTTTTTTGGGAACTTAACCATGGTCACCACAACTAATCCGACATCCGTCTGCAATTTTAGGTCGCTTCGGGCGAGTCATTGTGGTAACGAAAGATGGCGATGAAAATATGATTAGAAGGGAGGTGTTCCAGGAGCTACGCCAGCTGGACAATCTCATCCAGAATGCGACCACCACCTACGATGGGGACACCTATACCTACAAGGACAATTGTGCCCGCTGGGAGAACGAGTGTTTCGTGAACGATATTCTCAACCTGGATGCCCTGATGGATGATGTGAGTATGGGGTTCATTAATCAGATTGGAATTTTCTCAGAATGTTATTATTCAAACCTTACACTTCGTTTGCAAAAAGGTTTTCTCGGCTATAATATTATTTTTTGCATTCCCTAATTTCAGATCGAAGCGGGTCAACTGAATCTCACATTTCCCTTCATGTTTAATCCAGTCACTTGGGATGCTCACTTGTTTCCCGTCTTCTTCGGTGGCACCAAGCTGACTGAAGATAATATTGTGATCAGTGTTCCGGCCATACAGTTGGTGTACTTTGTCACAGCCGACACCAAACGACAGGATGCCAAGTAAGAATAAAAATATCCAAAAAATTAGACTTCCACTAAATATGAAACTTTTTAGGGGTGCCGAATGGGAGGAGACCTTCCTTCGAGTAGTTGGAAATGCAGAGGACTCGGGCTTCTTTAAGCACATCTCTGTATCCTACTTTGCATCCCGAACTTTGGATCACGAACTCGAGAAAAACACAAAGACTGTGGTGCCCTATTTCAGCTCAACCTTTTTGCTCATGGGTCTGTTTAGGTAAGTCTTCATAATTACTTTGTTTAAACTTTAAATAATATAATGGATTTACTTTCAATTTAGCATCATCACCTGTATGATGGGTGACGCAGTTCGATCGAAACCCTTTTTGGGTCTCATGGGTAATATTTCGGCAATAATGGCAACCCTGGCAGCTTTCGGCCTGGCTATGTACTGCGGCATTGAGTTTATTGGCATCAATCTGGCTGCCCCCTTTTTGATGATCGGTATGTTTGGCAATAATGTTTTTTAAATGACTGACTTAACTAATTTTTAAATTCATTCTTTAGGAATTGGTATTGATGACACCTTTGTAATGCTGGCGGGTTGGCGACGCACCAAGGCCAAAATGCCAGTGGCGGAGCGCATGGGTCTAATGATGTCCGAGGCGGCCGTATCGATCACTATTACCTCGGTCACCGACTTCATTTCGTTCCTGATCGGCATCATCAGTCCCTTTCGATCGGTCAGGATCTTCTGCACGTACTCGGTGTTCGCCGTTTGCTTCACGTTCCTGTGGCACATCACCTTCTTTGCCGCCTGCATGGCGATTTCTGGCTACAGGGAGCGCAAGAATTTGCATTCCATTTTCGGCTGCCGGGTGCAGCCAATGTCGGTTGCCATCAAAGGTGAGTGAACTGCCGGATTCGGTGGGATCGGGATTGATATTGTACCTATTGTTGTTCTGCAAGCGCGTGGAGTTTTATTGATGATTAAGCTTGGGTGACAGTCATACATCATAAACTGTTATTGTATTCGGTTCTTTAATAATTAAGCTTGTCTCTTGCTTATCAAATTACAGAATAATGCTTATTTTCAATAGAAAATTTAACTTAACTTATCGTTTTGATCACATTTTAATCAATTAATACTAAAAATCTTCAAAAGCAGGAATGCAAAAAAAAAGATATTTTTTGAGTGTACTCGCTGCAAGGTCTAGTTAAGCCAACTGAAATGTGGACAACACCACAACCGGATCGAAGTAGTTAGAGTTTAGATGGCTTAACACCAGCAGCAGCTGCAACATGAACTTGATCATGAGACACAAGCAACTAGACTAGCCACTGTCTTAGCACAACAAATGCTCACTACAATTGAGGCCAATGGGAACTTGTCTCACAAAACTTCTTTCCATCGCTTTGTTTTTGCCCCGCAGAAAAACGCAACTTCCTCTACAAGGCGATCATGGCGGGTGGCATCGACCCCAACGATCCGGACAACCCCATCGACAACAAGGACCACATGCTGATGGCCTTCTTCAAGGACAAGCTGGCCGCAGTGATCAACAACAAGTGGTGCAAGGCGATCATCATCTTGGCATTTGCCAGTTATTTGGTTGGTGCCTGCTACGGAATCACCCAAATAAAGGAGGGCCTCGAACGACGAAAGCTGTCCCGGGAAGACTCCTATTCGGTGGAGTTCTTCGATCGCGAGGACGACTACTACCGCGAGTTTCCATACAGAATGCAGGTGGGTTCTATTGGATGATTCAAGTACTCTTAAGGTTTAACCTTCTTTTTGTGGAAATCTGTTAATCTTAATGAAAGCTAATCGATCTTAGCACTTGATATGTTTTACGATTAAGATTGAAAGTCATACTTCTCGAATTTCTCTAAGATGTTGCTAACTAAATATTGGTATTTTCAGGTTATTATTGCCGGACCGCTGAATTACTCAGATCCTGTGGTGCAGGAGCAGGTGGAGAACCTCACGAGCACTCTGGAACACACCTCGTATGTAACCTCCAGGCGCTACACGGAGTCCTGGCTGCGTTCGTTCCTCTCATTCCTGGAGCGCAACAATGAGTTGCTCAATGTGACTATAGATGGCGAGCAGAATTTCATTGAGGCCGTTAAGGAGCACTGGCTGTTCCCCGGTAACCCCTTCTCCCTGGATGTCCGGTTTAACGATGATGAAACCCAAATCATTGCCTCGCGATTCCTCATCCAGGCGGTCAACATAACGGACACTAATCACGAAAAGGAAATGGTGCGGGATCTGCGACAGATTTGCAAGGACTCGCCACTGAATGCCTCGATCTTCCATCCGTATTTCGTGTTCTTCGATCAATTTGAACTGGTGCGACCGGTTTCCCTGCAAGCGATGGTGATCGGAGCCATCATCATGATGATCATCTCCTTCGTCTTTATCCCGAATATACTGTGCTCCTTGTGGGTGGCCTTTTCGGTCATCTCCATTGAGCTGGGCGTGGCCGGCTACATGGCCTTGTGGGACGTTAACCTGGACTCCATTTCGATGATTAACCTGATCATGTGTATTGGCTTCTCGGTGGATTTCACCGCCCACATCTGCTACACTTACATGTCCTCGAAGAAGCGCAGTCCGAAGGCTCGAGTCCGTGAGGCCCTTCACTCCCTTGGTCTGCCGATTGTCCAGGGCTCCAGTTCCACCATTCTGGGCATTGTGGCCCTTCTGCTGGCCCAGAGCTACATCTTCCTGGTCTTCTTCAAGATGGTCTTCCTGGTGATATTCTTCGGTGCCATGCACGGCCTCTTCCTGCTGCCCGTGCTGCTGTCGCTCTTTGGACCCGGTTCCTGTCTCACCTGGACGGGAAAAGATGACGGTAGCGATGCCGAAGTGGATGACAGCCTGGAGGACCGTCAGCTGGAGAAGCCCTTCTCGCAGTCCTACTACATGCAGTACCCCACCATGGGCATTAATGGACCCTATATCTCGAAGGGATTTTTGGGTGCTCCGTACAAGGCGTATGGAGTGGATGAAAAGGATCTGGGATTGGGCACATCTGGCGAAGACTCCTCGGAGAGCAGCTCGAGTCGATCGCAGCGCCGCCAGCAGCATCAGGTGGCCGCCGCCGAGGAGGAGGTTGTGGTCCGGGAGTCACCACGCCGCAGGTACGAAGAGGGCTGGCGTCGCTCCTCCTACCAGAACATCTATGGACAGGATGCAGCGCAGTTCCAGGCCCAGCCCGATCTCTATGGCCAGCAGGTTTCGGCGGCCGAGTGGCGCCACCGACTGGACACCCACGAGCAGCAACAGCGCCAACGACAGCGAAGAGGTCCCTATGACAACTACCACCAGGACATGGACATGGAGATGGATATGCAGAGGGCGCGACGCAACTCCCACGGAGACGTCATCGATCTGCAGGGAACGCCAAACTCCTCCGTGGACGAACGACTCCGGAGACAGGGTGAACCTCCATTCAGTGCGGGCAGTGGCGACGATAGTAGCTATCGCCATCAGCCGGTGATGGCGATGCCACCGCCCACCGGAGCAGTGCCCCCAGCGAAGCGGTATCATCGACGACGTTCCTCGGAGGATTCCACCCATCGCCACCAACGTTGGCCGGCGAACATCGAGGAGCGGAGGGCGCGACGCGCCCACTCACCCGCCCACAACCGCCCAGAGACTGCCACGCCCAGCTACGCCTACCGCTCCTCCTCGCACCACAATCTCTACCAGCCGAACGGGAAGGGTTCAAAGCATCCGCCCACTTATCAGTATGGAGACTACTACCAGTGAGGACGGCGAACGAGCGAGGGAGTTACTCGTGGTTCTGTGACAGGAATATTCCTAATATATATAAAAAGTTGGGTGGGTCGACCTCTTAAACAAAGATTTTCAAGAAGAGAAAGTAGTATTTGGACAATTAGGGGACCTTTATAAAAACCATTCACTTTTCAATTAGCATTTAGTTAGATTTCAGACAACAGCTAATTTGAATTCCAAGGTATACTTCAACATTTTGTTTTATAACTCTCTTAATTTTCCCTATATTACTTTTTCAATGTTTTTTTGGAAGTTTATTTTTGTTGACATCCATTGCAATCAACCCAACCAAAAAGAGAGAGACATTGAGGGAACAGAGCAAATTGTCTTGTCAAACAATATTTAAGTTAGGTCTTTTTTTAAAGCAATCCCAACTATTTCTGTCTTCACTTTTCTTAAGCTTGCCCCGCGTAGAATATATACATTAACGAATACCCAGATTAGGCAAACAACGCTCACATTGTCCACAAGTATTCTTTTCGGTGTGAGCTCAAAATTGTTAGTTAATAGTGGCAGTTCGATCTATTTATCCCAAAACATTTCATCGATAAGAGCTCGAGTCAGACAACTTAAGTTACCATCTACACATATACTATACACCTAGTTACATGTAATGCTACTTGAGTCAGACTTTGGGTTCCCCATATCAGTGTTTATTTAAATTAATTTAGATTAAGTGCGAGTGCGTGTACGAAGTCTGTTCAATAATGTTTTGTATAGAAAATGCAACGCTGAGTAAATATTTAATAACTATTAATTGTTAGGAATGGCCGCATCATCAAGGCCCGATCATTTGGGACAAGTTTGTAAAGCGTTTACAATTTTTTCTATTAAATAAAAATTTTATATTTTCCTAGAAATAATGTGCACCCTGTGTGGAGAATGTTTCGTGTCGATTGGGTTGGGCTTAATCTTAATGGCTTTCTGAGCTACTTTTAATGGGATATCTTATGACCAAGGCCAAGGCCATATAAATGACTTCGTTTCTGGAGTTGCGCTATTCAGTATGCTTACCATATTGTTCATTATCTGTGGCTTGCGTTTTTGGGTAATAGCATCCAATAACAGCACCAGTTTGGAAAATGTTTTCGTTCCGAAGTGCTATCCACTAATCCAGTGCGATGATTATTTCTCAGTGGCTGGATTTGTCGAGGTGAGTTGGGCTCCCCGCTTCCCAGTGTGTTCAAATAAATATTTGCTGTTTTTAGGTAAACTGGCTCGAAGCTAACTATATATGCAACAGAGTTGGCTCCGTTTTAGCAACTGTTAGAAATGAAGAACATCATCAGTTAATGATTGACTACTTGATTAAGAACGGTAGGATTGATCCTCACTAATTTAACCTACTTCATGTCTGGTCTGCCCTTAGAAAAGATCTTTGGAAGGAAGACCTTCTGGCTGGGCGCTACAAATCAGGTTAAGCGAACGTATTTCTGGACCTGGCTGAGCACTGGCATTCCCGTGACTTACGGCCAGTGGGCCTCAAAGGAGCCCAAGTCGGATCGAACTGGGCAGGATGCCTGCATGGTCCTAGGAACTGACAATCTCTGGCACAGTGATTCCTGTAATGAGAAACACTATTTCATCTGCGAAAATATTTGCCAGCTGAATTATACATCATTAGACAAAAGAGTATATATCTAACACTTTCTCTTCTTAGACAAATATGGACATTTTTATTTAAAATCGCCTAACGAAAAATCTAAAGGAAATAAAGAGCAATTAGAAATAACCAAGAAAATTCCATACTTCTTTTAGAGTTTTTTAAATTTGATAAAACAAAGGAAGTAAGGAGATCTATAGAACATATATTTATCCGATGCCGGGGAAATTTAATATTTTTTGGGGAGTTTTAATAAGTATTCCATCTTTAATTTCCGACTTAAGGGTTTTTATACCATCCGTTTTAATTACACTTTAAAACTATAAACTCAATGTTCAATTTTAATTTTTTCAAAAAAATTATTTTTTTCATTTTCTTCCAGCAACCCTAACTTGTTTAAAGGGTTTTTAAGGATAGTCAGTTCACACACAAATAAATATAAAAGTATAAACAAGGTAAATGTGTGTTAGAAAATGTGGTTGATTGTTTTGATTTTATCAGAAGGGGAAAATTTAAAAAATATATATATTCGTTTTATGTGCTGTGCCATGTTGGCCAAAACATTTTCAAATAGTAAAGAAAAATCTTTACAAAATCAAATGTGTACAAATGCAGCCTGCTTTGAAAGCTCACCAAAAAGCTAAGCCTTCTGCAAACAAAAGTTGATTGATATGAGACCCAAGTTAAAATTTAAAAACTCAAATGCTTTTTTTTTTACTTGCTCATATTTAGCTGATATATTTAATATCCAACACCAAACAATTTATTGGACCTATTTGGTCATTTTCGGTTAGTTAACGTCGTCGTCGAACTGGCAACGCCTCTCGCAAACAAAGTAGTGCTGCTCATGTTTGCAATCCTCGTTCACCCAGTAACCGGTGACTCCATTGATACCCAGGCATTCGTCATAACTGTCGTCGCCGGGCAGTCCGTTCTGGAAGTTGCGATAGTTGATGGTGCGTCCCTTGCTGAACCACACCCAATTGTTCCTGCTAGCCAGGTTAGTACCAGAGGTCCAGAGCGGATCGTTCACCAGGTCTTGCTGCCGCCGGGCGACGGTGTAGAGGAAGTTGCGCAGTCTCTGCTGCTCCTGCTCCGATGTGATGCTCACCAGGGTGTACCCAGCAGCGGCACAGGTGGCCTGGGCCTGGAACCAGTTCACCTTGGCGAAACCGCCAAAGCCGAACCTTTCATCGCTCTGGCTGAAGGGCGAGAAGACGGCCACATCGTCAGCCTCGTCGGCGGTTTCGTTTCCCGGTGCCGGGGATGTGGGTGAGAGCTCCAATTCCGGATGGGCCCAAGCCAGGCCGAAGAGGAAACTAATCAGGAACAGGGAACGCATCTTGCTATGTATGAACCAATCGAGGAATAGAGCTCCCTTTATATAGCCGGAGTACTAATTGCCCCTGGCAATTCATCAATGTCAACAGATAAGCAGCTAAATCTGGGTATAACTAAGTACTTTCCCTAAATTGGTTCAGCTTGCTTGCTTCTTGCTGCTTGCCATAAATATCGTTCCTCAGTAAATCTCAATATTAAGCGCTGCGCAAATCCGTTCGCCATTTTTATGTTAAGGTTTTGCGTTCGCTAATAATTTTATCCCACCCTCCTCCAAAAGCAGTTGGTCCAATGCAAGTACTGGAAATTTATCGAAAAAATGTAAAAAGCATATCTCATTTAACTCAGCTGTCAGCTGGGGGAATCCGAGGGAGAAAAGGAGACGTTATGACGGGTCAAGGATTGCCAATTGCCAAAGCGGAACCCTCGTCCAACTTTTCCCCATTCAATCTCGATGCACATTTCCTTTCGGTGGTGCTCTGTGTGTTTGCGAGTTGGCCAAGTGTTTACGAGTCCCGCTGGGATTGAACAGCAACGAAATGTGCAAACACAGATCGCTGGATTCCACTCTATTCCTTTTTCCGCCTTTGGCTTGGGGGAAAATGACATAGAATCAAAAATTTCTGCAGCATTGTGGTAAGTGTGGCGTTCTGTGGGGCGTATGCGTAATATGATTTCTGTGAATGGCTTCCCATTCAGATTCGCATTTGCATTTGCCAATGCTGCACAATGCACAAAAGATTCACATTGCAAACAAGGTCATTTGTCGTTATGGAAAGGGGATAGTTATTATCGGATCGGTCAATATCTGACGAGTTAATGTGGCTACCTTAGCAATTAGTCTGTAAAATTCTTTTTTCAGCGGATGTTACATGGGTCCTGTGGCGCAATGGATAACGCGTCTGACTACGGATCAGAAGATTCCAGGTTCGACTCCTGGCAGGATCGAATTTTTTTAAAATAATTTTGATTTTATTTTCGCTTCACATTAACTGTTTTGAGAAAAACATAAGCCAAAAAAAAACTTTAATGTTACCTTTGATATGCCTCAGATTATATACCCTTGACCTTAAAACCTATTAAACTATACAAAGTTAAATAGTGATATCTTTAAAAACAAAGAAGTTATTTGATATTGTCTTCCGATATTGATATAAATGTTATTAAAAAAAAACAATAAAATCGTTTCAATATCTAGATAATGTAGTAAATTAATTTGTAATATAGAATAATAACATAATCATAAAATCGTATATATTTAGAATATAAGCTTCGTCTATTTTTCTATTAATTTCTATTCGATTAAATTTTGGCTGTATGATATAATCGTCCGATTTCGGAAGTTCCAAATAGATAGAAGGATTTTTGTACATACGAATTCAAAAATCTTTTTTAACTTTAAAAACTAATGAAATAAAGCTAAAATAAAAAATTTCGCCCAACGTGGGGCTCGAACCCACGACCCTGAGATTAAGAGTCTCATGCTCTACCGACTGAGCTAGCCGGGCTGTGATGAAGAATTGGACAATTATCTATTTGTGATAACGCTGATCGCGATCAATACAACAAATTTTGAAAAAGGTTCTAAAAATACTAACTAAGAAAATATAACACATTTTAAGATATTAAATATATCAATTTCATGCATATTGCTTTAACTTTTCAACTTTGCTACAAATTGAGCTGTGCTTGGTCGTGCCTTGTTGAATGCGCAATTAAATTGTAAAACTTGTTGACAAGATGACATGATCTATTAGCTTTGGTTATTTGTCTTTGGTCGGTTGGAAGGAAAAATTGCAATTAAATTGGTTGGCTAATGCTGCTCCGATGCGGATGCTGAGAGCAAAGGACGCCGACAAGATGGAAAGGACCCCTCTGACAGCAGAAAGTCACGCAGGATAAATGCACCAAAGGTTCCTCGGCTAAGGCCAATGAGTGTCCCAACTCCTGCAGTTCCTCCTTCAACTTAATTTATGCTTCTAGCTGGAAGGGAAAACTGGGGAACGAGCTTGGCTTTCAGCTGTTGGACATTTTCGCAGCACGTAAAGCGAAGGTCGTCAAACGCTTAGCGTTGTTTTATGGCGTGGATATTCATCGTAACACCCACAACTTCTTCATTTCAGAAGTCCATTTAAGACATGTGAACAAAAGTAAATCAGAAGAAAGCGCTTTCTATTTTCTACAAAATTAATTAAAAGTGCAAAAATTTAAATTTTCATATTAAAGGCAATTTTTGTACTGCCCCGTTTACATTTGTTTATAATAGCTATATTGTGGCTCATGCATATAAATATTACGCATACGTAAAAGCAACACTTTTTGTTGCGTATATCGCAATGGGGTCCACTGCTCCGGTAAAAATTAATAGTAAATGTAGTTATTAATACGATCTGTTGTAATTTATCAAAAAACTTTTTTTGTTAAAATGTGTGACACATGGAATAACACTGGACTTAAAATACATTTTGTTAATTTGGTGACTTGCTCGATTCCACGACCGACAAATCTGTGCCACCAAATGCTTCATCAAGATTTAATCGTTCTCTTTTTCCTTCGTCTATTTGGCCAAATGTCCCCATCAAAGCTAAGGACATTGACGGGGCGTCCAGGCGCCCAGTTCCTTAATTAACAAATTTCTGATATAGCTAGCACAAGGTTCTGGAGGGGTAAAAAGTTTCCAGTTAATTAGAAGACCAGCAACAAAGGGGAAAGCTATGCAATTTGCGAGTTTATTAATTTTATGTCGATTTGCATGCAATTTCTGGCTCAAGGCGAAACTTTATCCGAGTTTTAGTTCGGCTATGATGCTGGATGCTAGCGTAATCTGGCAGAAAGACATTTATTCAATGGCTGCCACTGGCTAATTAAAACTAATGGCCAAGCCAAGCCAGTAACGACCCACTGTCAGCTGGCAGCGGTTGCAGGTGGATCTCCCCCAGCAGAGTGGCTTTCCTTGTTCGATACGACCTGGATGAGCTGCAATTCAATCGAATGAAAAAGCCACTCCCGCGAAAGGTGGCAAAAGTTACGCAATATTTGTATAAAAAAGTCGCACGCGATTTTCCGATACGACAGAGGGAGAAATCGTTTGCAAATCCCAACACGAAGGTCAGTCCAAAGTCATTCAGTTGCGTGCCACGCATTTGCCAGTGCCCTTGTCAGTGGCTGTTGCAGTTGCACCCTTAGAACAAGTCAACTGTAAATTGGCTTAACTGCAGTTTATCATTAAATTTGATGTCATTTTATTCCACGTTGCATCGCACGTAAATTTTTGATGTTTTCATATATGAAAACTGTATGTGATCTGGTGATTTATTCTTCATACACAAATGCTGCGTAACACACTCGAATGTAATCTTAAATGATTCGAATCAATTTATTTTTCACATCGCAAAACTTTTTTAATGCTAATATGAGTCTACATATGTAAACTAGAAATATACGTAAAAACACTTTTAAAATTTTTTCAATATTTTTATTATTTCCATAAAATTAATGTAAAGAAGAGTATAAGCCCAAAGTTTAGACACACGTCTTTCGTCAACGACCATACCACGCTGAACACATCGGTTCTCGTCCGATCACCGAAATTAAGCAGCGTCGGGCGCGGTTAGTACTTAGATGGGGGACCGCTTGGGAACACCGCGTGTTGTTGGCCTCGTCCACCAACTTTTTGCGGCCTACTCCCTCTTTTTTTTTATTTTATTTTAAACAATTTGAAAAGAATTTTCTTATCAAGTTTGAACCAATTTCATGGGTCCTGTGGCGCAATGGATAACGCGTCTGACTACGGATCAGAAGATTCCAGGTTCGACTCCTGGCAGGATCGGATTTTTTATGTTTTTATACATTTGCTTTTTTCGATTTTTATAAATTATATTAAAAAAACAAAAGATAATATATATAACAAGTTTAAAAAAAGTCTTTGAAAACAACAATACATAGTCAATTTTTATATGCACATTTATAAAAAAAAAAACAATAAAATTGTTTTCATGCCTAGATAATGTAGTCGTCTGATTTGTATAAAAGAAAAAATGCAAAAAATCTTATATATTTATGCGTAAAAACATGGAAGCTTGTCTATTTTTCTAATAATTTTTCGACCGTTTCTATGCAGGCTTTTTTGATATAGTCTTCATTCAGACATATGTAGGAATTCCGAAATCTTTTTTTAACTTTACAGAAAAAACAACACAGCGTGTTGTTGGCTTCGTTAATAACTTTTTGCCTATTCCCCTTTTTTAGTATATGTAAAGCAATTTAAAAACATTTCGATTTTTTTCAGTTAATACTAAATAAAAAATTTGGGGCCCGTAACATTGTACTTTATTAAATCTGAAATCATTATTAAAATTAAATAATATACGCGCGTCTTAAAAAGTAATGCGGAATAACAAATAACTTGTTGCTTGGTACAATAAAATATTTTTCTAAGTATCTGTACCTCGAATTCATTGTTGGTTTGAAAAAAAATATCCGTTTTTAAAAATATTCCCATATAAAGGGCGCTCTACAGAATTTTATCTCATTTAAAGTTTTATATACTGTGTACATTTAAAACCACATGCAAATAGTAAAGCAAGATTTGTAACCATAATTAAAACCCGCTTTAAATGTAAAGTGGAAACAAAATAAGCACAACTCATGTATCATTAGACAACTTCTAGACACCCATTTCGTGCTGTAATCCATCCGAACCTTTGTAACCGCTCATTAGAGGTCGCCCTCTTCGCCTCCATTCCACTTGCACCAGTCGCACTTCCATAACGAGTACTGAGTAAATTGACAATTGCATTAAGTGCGTTAAGTGCTTCAGCGTGAACGAGTGTTTGCGTGGTTGTATGAGAGCCACAATAGGACCAGCAAGTCATGAAGCGGTCCTTCCAAAGGGACCAAGCTCTGGACGCAACAGCCGTTGTCGAAGTTTTTTATCCATCGAGTGAGCAAAACTTTTTATGCTTTAGCTGCAGTATGCTGCAAGTTGCTATTATGACATTTTCCTTGAAGGATAATTGTCCACAGGGTGTCCTTGACTTGTCGCAGGGATGAAGCTATCCCCATCTTTAGGGAAGGTTAAGCGGTTGTGTAAACACTTTCCTTGTCAAATGAAACTAAAACAAGTTTGCCATGGATATATGTATATATGAATGTGTTGCAGTGAGAGTAAGTGTTTGCGCAGTTAAATGATATGCCAATCAGATTTATCTGTAATAAATTTATTAAGAATAAATGTTAAAGTTTATTGAATTACATTTATTTTTAAAGCTTAATCCTATTTTTTTGTCTTTGGTATGCATTAGGATGTTATGGTACTACTTGCGAAATGCGAAGACAAATTAACATAAGCGATTTAACAATTTAATTTAAATTTGTCCAATTCAGAGCAAGTGATTTAAAATGTCTGCAATCATCTCGAAAATTTGTTGATTGTGCAAACTTGTCTTAAGTCAAATTCCCAAAGAGCTATGAAGCACAGCTCCGACACGTTCATTCTTTGGAATGCAGTTTCTTTAATTTTAACAATATTTACAACCTATAAGATCTCTCCACAACAACACTAACTGGAAACTTTTTCCAGTCGGAGGATGATTTCTTGCTTGGAAGCAAGAACCGGGCTGGTCGGAGCAAACTCGATCTTCTCAACGGTCTGGTCGCATGTGTGGACTTGGTGGTTCCGCAGAAGGTGCACAAGTCCCAATTTGGACTGTAGCAGACCCAATCGCATACCGATGCAGTTCCGGGGACCAACGCCGAATGGCATGTAGGCGTCCATGTTGATGTTATCGCGGTTCGCCGGACTGAAGCGTTCCGGGTCAAATTTCTCTGGCTCCGGCCAGTACTTTGGATCCCGCTGGATGGCCAAAGCGGACACGTAGAGGGACATGCCATCCGGCAGCTCCATGTTGTGGAAGGGATCCAGGGTGAAGCGTTCTCCCTCCGCTGGCTGGGAGCACTGTCGCTCCGCGTAGCCCACGATTGGATACATGCGCAATGTCTCGTTGACGACCTGCGACAGGTAGGGCATCTCCTGAATTCGCTCGTAGCTAACATGGTCCTCGTCCCCAAAGAAGTCGGCGATCTCTTGTCGCAGACGGTCCTGCAGTTCCTCGTTCTTGGCCAACTCGTAAAGCGTCAGCGTCATTGTGGAGGAACTAGTTTCATAGCCAGCTGTCTGGAAAACGGCCGCCTGGGCCACCAAATAGTCCACATCAAATGTCTGTTGCGACTTATCCGGATTGGCAGCAGCCTCCTTTTTCAATGCCAAAAGGATGTCGACAAGGTCGTTTCGCTTTTGGCCACTTCTTTCGCGTTCCGTCAGCACATAGTTAATGCTTTTCTTGATAAATTTGCTGGTTTCCTTCGAAAAGAGTTTCACGCGGGCTATCGATGCCAAAGACGGCAGCATGAAAATGATGGCAAAGTCGATGGCCCGACTTAAGGTCACCGCGAATATAGCCCTATTGTGGTAGAAGAACTCGCTCTTGGCGTTCTGCAGAGCGTTTGCCTCCAGGCCAAAGGCAATGGTGGCAATCAGGTCAGTGGTGAAGCGGGCGCACAGGTCCTTGATCGGGATGTTCGAACCACTTCCCAGGCGATCGGCGCTGGCCTCCAGGTTCTTTCCAATCTACAAAAAGAATTAATAATTTATAAATAAAACAAATCGTGTAATACCATATCATTTGATAAAGTTCACTTATCAATTTGGAATGTAATAGGTAAACAAGGTTTTTGATAATTATAACAGCACTCACCTTCACCATCAGAGGATACATTTGCTTTATCTTTCCCGTGGTAAAGACCGGGGAGATCTTGGTGCGCAACTCCCTCCACGCCGGACTGCGGGCAAAGAAGAGGTTGTTGAAGCCCAGAGGGTCGTTGTGCGGATCTGTTTGCAGCACACGATTGTTGAAGTACTGGAACTTCTTGATCATCACCGTCTTGATCAGGTCCAGATCCCGAATTATCAGAGCCGGCCGATAGGACATGTACACGCCAACGAAAGGTTCATTCTCGAAGCCAGGTGATTCGTGAAACCTTTGGATCTGCTCGAAGAACGCCGCCCGTCCGGTCAGAAAATCACGGGTGCATCCCACAACGGGCAGTGGACTGAGGTATTTCACCCCATGGCGCTTCCAAAAGGAGAACGTCCGCCTCTGCCAGATGTAGAAAACGATCGCTAATGTAGCGAGGAGAAGCAGTAGCTCGATCGACATGTTTAAATCTTCGTCTACCGGGAGCTACTACTATATTAGCTTCTCCGTAGACGCTTTTAAACGATCGCCAAAGCTTTCCAGTCGAACAAACAATATAATGTAAGGGTAAAGGCATAGCGTAGATGCGCCAAGACCACTGAATGTTTACGCTTATCGGGAGGGCGCTCGTTCTAAACTGTCAACACTCAAAAAAATTAACAGTTTTTTGTAGTATTTTTTATTTTTCTATTTTCAAGTCTGCTATCATTATTGTATTTAAGTTACATCTAAAACCATTTTCACTTCTGGTAATATAAAATAATTCAAACAATTCTCAAGACAAAGTAAACCTATCAGAACTTTTCAATACAACAAAACCAAAAACAAATGGATATATTCAAAAAAAATTAAGCATGTTTTATTCTCAATAATTGCCGTAAAAAACCTTGTTTAAAATAAAAGGTAAGCACTTTAATTCATTTAATTTGTAATTTGATATTACTATCCGATCCTTTGCTGTGTATGATAAGGGTATTTAAAACGCCATTCGATGTTTGACTAGGCGAAAAATGCTTGCGCTATTTCGCTTAGTCTCCATGACATTGCAAAAAGTTGAATGAATCGCGAATCGAGTCGATGTGAATTCAGATTTTGTTTGAACTAGTCAGCGTGCGCTGGCAGACTGAAGCACACGTCGAGGAAACCCTCCTGCTCTGACCTGTATTACCGGAGTATAAGCAAACTGAATTAAACATTTTGATTGTATATGTTATCAGCGCTATACTTAATTTATTTAGATTAGTATTTTTATTAATATTGTGTTAAAAAAACATTGTTGCACACTCTAAGGCGTCATATTTTAATGCAGACACCACAAATACTGTTAGCTTTATTTAAATAGTCAGACTTACAAATAGGCAGTAGCATTTCATTACCAGCGTGACTGTCTTGAAAATTATTATTGTTGATTATTATTGACTAAAAAGAACAAAAATAAGTTCTGTTTTTTCAAAATTTGGATTTCTTGGAGAAACAATTTAATTCCGGAATTGTCATTTGTGGAGCTTAAAAAAAATCGATCCTGCCAGGAGTCGAACCTGGAATCTTCTGATCCGTAGTCAGACGCGTTATCCATTGCGCCACAGGACCGTGATTCAACACGCGACCTGAAACTGCTGAAGACCCCCGACGTTCCAAGGCAAAAGCTTTTTTAGTTTTGTCAGCAGCAAAGCTTAAATTAGTGATTGTCGGCCCACTGGTTATAGCCCGGCTAGCTCAGTCGGTAGAGCATGAGACTCTTAATCTCAGGGTCGTGGGTTCGAGCCCCACGTTGGGCGACTTTTTTTTTTGTTGTTTTCTCTTATATACTTCAGTGTATTTTTATACACGTTACTCGTTAAATATAAAGTAACAACAGGTTGATCAGGAGCATCAGTGCGCATGTCCGAATAAACATAGATTTCTTAAATAAATTATTAGGGAAATGATCAAAATTATTTTTGCTGCGTCTTTATTCTTTGTCGCGAACTAACAGGAAATGATCGTTATTCTCGTTTGATTTCTGTCTGTGATTCTACATTTTTATACCCTTGCAGAGGGTATTAAAATTTCAGTCGAAAATTTGCAACGCACTGCGTAATAAGACATTTCCAACCCTGAAAAGTATGTAAATTCTTGATCAGCATCACCAGCATCACGAACCATGTCTGTCCGTCCGTACGTCCGTCCGTCTGAAAGTTGTCTTTTTATTGCAGGTAGTATATATGTCAGAACAAGCCGGTTCGAGCAACTATATCAAATAGCTCCCATAAGAACAATCAAAAAATTAAAAAAAATAAAAATTTAAAATGTTGTTGTTTTTCTATTTATTAAAATATTCTTTTCAGATATAGTAATTATTTGCTATATCAGAATTACGCTTTTAGTTTTCTAAAAATCGGACAACAATATCATATACCATAGAAACCATAGCAAAATGCAGCGCAAAATCAACATAGCTTCATTGTTTTTAGTAAAATAGGCATATAAATCAAAATTTCGTTTTGTAATATCTCCAAGGGTATATAAACTTCGGCTTGCCGAAGTTTTCTTTCTTTCTCGTTTTAATATGAAATATAGTTGTTTGTTAATGCGGGAACGTTTATAACCAATAGCGTTGTCCAAGCTCATCGGTTCGTTTGCCACTCCCGTTAGGAAATAAATAAAAAAATATCCATCAATAATATCTACATTTTTAAACCAATATTGTTACGGATTCGGATTGCTTTTTTCTTATATTCAACGAGAAAATTTTTAAAATCTTGTTGAATACAAACAAAAAGCAATCCTAACAGCGAAAAAAACTTAATTGTAGAATCATTATTTGAGGGGATTTAACAGGAAGTAAAGCATTTGTTTGATTGAATCAACGTAACAAATTTGTTAAAATCGGATTTATTATATCGGACAATAAAACACAAAAAATGACAACAAAAAAATCGATCCTGCCAGGAGTCGAACCTGGAATCTTCTGATCCGTAGTCAGACGCGTTATCCATTGCGCCACAGGACCACATGTTCGTTGCCGGTCAAAATGGCGAGCTTGCCTACATGATATCAAAGCTAATTATTAAATACTATTAAATTATTAATGGATTTTCATTATTTTCACTATTACAACAAAAATGAATATGCTTATAAATTAAAATAATTTCCAAGTAAAGAAAACGAATTGCAAAAAAAGCCGATCCTGCCAGGAGTCGAACCTGGAATCTTCTGATCCGTAGTCAGACGCGTTATCCATTGCGCCACAGGACCACATAAATGCTCGTTGTCCAAGTCTCAACATCTAAGGGAGAAGCTTTTAAGTCACTCACGCACTTTGCTATCGACTTCCTACTCAAAGCAGTGTAGTATTAAGCAGTGCATTAAACAAGCTAATAGCGTTATGAACATAATTTTAAATAAAATCTTAAACATCTTGTTTATGCCAATTTCTAAAGCTTTACCTAAAACAATAAAAAAATAAAATAAAACAATTTTGTTTGCATTTCTTTACATATTAAACAAATTAAACTTAGTAACTCTTATTTAAGAAAAGGAAATTACATTTAATAGACTCTTTTAAAAATATACAGGGTTATTGCTTTTTATTAGTAAGTTTTATAGATCAAATTCATTTTTTTAATACTTCTCACCCTATTTTAGGCATACTAGTTAGTTGTATATTTTTAATTCAACAACTGCAAATAAAAGTTTAACTCGGATCTCTAAAAATCCATTCTTTTAGGAGATTGGGTTTACTTTTTGCATTGAAATTTATTTTAAAAAATGCAACTCCACACCCCCTATGAGAACGAAGCCTGCAGCGAAGCCAGCGCAGCGTCGGCAGCGAAACAAAAAGCGTCGACTGCAAGGGAGAAAATCAGTGGGTCTCAGTCCGTCGTCGACTTTCGAAGTGTGCAGTTTCCGAGCGCGGCAAACAGCAAATGTTGTGGCAATCAATTAAAGACCAATCTTCCGATGCCATGAAGGAAAAGAAAAGTGCGTGTTTTGAGGTTTGAGAAACTTTTTTGGGCCAATCGACGTTGTGCTCCGTAACCTTTGTGTGAAAACTACTCTCGGAATAATCGCTAAAACTGCGAACCAACGTTTTGTGCGTGGGTGTGTGTGTTTCAGTGAGTGTGCAATGTAAAATGGCAAACATATAGTGGCAAAAGTAAATAGAATTTGTGTTCAGCTCCGGTAAGTTGCGTTGCAGCCTAAAAAACCGTAAATCAACAAAAAATATCCACCCGTCTCCTTTACATCTTTGCCATTTGCTGATATTCTCGCTCTCTTCAGCGCTTCGCCTATTCTGTTTTTCACATGCTTTTTTGTTTTCATCGTCTGCTTCGGCTGGAGCCCGAAGGAGAAGCCAAAACGTAATACTAAAAGCACAAAGATTGGGGCAAGCAGACGCCGTCGTCGCTGTTGTTGTTTCCCCTTTTCTTTTTATTTTTGTTATTTTGTGCCCATAGTTGTCTGCTTGGTTCGTTCTTGTTGTTGCTGTTTGTTTAGCTGCCGTTTCTCCTTTCCATTTACATACGCCCGTATGAGTATTGGTGTGTGCTTGCGGTTCTCTCTCTCTGTTTCTACGCCCCCTGGCCCCCTCAACTCTTCTGCCTTCCCTATGTGTGTTTGTAGGCCTTCACAGAAGACTCGCTGCCTCTGCCGGCGTCGCGGTTAACTCGTTTAGCGACTCAGTTAATGTTGTTAATGCAGGTCTGCCGTCGGAACTACGAAGAATAAGAAAAAAGCCGTAGGGTTGCTCAGGTGGAATATAATTTTGGATAGATTTCTGAGCCCATCAATATCCAGTTTTTTTAAAAATGTAGACAATTTTTTTTAAAAAAAAAAAAGAATGTTTTTAGTCAAAACAATAAAAATGTTAATTCTTAAATAAGTTTTTATGATCTTGCGAAGCTAAGCTTGACAACGCTCCTTTTTTCATTCTGAATACTTAGAGTAGCTTTTTTTTGCATTATTGAAAGCTAAATATATATTTTACCTTGAAAAAAACTTAAAAATTTCCCAACTTAGAAACGACACACGGGTCCAGTTATTTCAAATGAACGCAGATCAAGTTAAAAAAGCATTTGGTTTATTTAACGCTTTAAAACTAAGGTTACCACGCAAAGTGATTAACAACTTAAAAACAAAACAAAAAAAATAATTTCGCAGATGTTTTGTTTATACGGTTCAAGGAAAATAATTTGTTACTATGTTTAATTTAATTATTGGAGCATGACGAACTTATAAGTAAAAACAAATTTCTAGCAATAAACCAAAAAAAATTTATTTGATTTTATTTTCACTAGTAATTTACATCGCAAGCATCCCTAAGCTTGGAGTTCCATTGGGTCAGTAACTCGAAAGGACGATTCTGTATAAGATTCTTCTAGTCTTTTTGGCCCCATTAACCTGCAGAGTGGGAAACGGAAAACAAGTCTGGCAGGCTGAAAGACATCGTCGTCCATTTTGGGGTGCAACTTCACCATCAGGCTCTTCAG